AAACAACATCTAGTTCCTTTCATGTTTAAGATTCACTATTCCAACTCATGCATATAGGAAAGTTATTAAGATATTGATATGAATATCTAATATCTAAAAATAGCACAAGATCACATGCAAAGATAAACTGTATCGGATATGAATCCAGTGACTGTTCACCTGATAACAATTATTTTAAAAGTTAAAGTAAATTAAATTTGTTAATCAGGATCCACTCGTATCTCATTGGAGGTAATTTTAGTTTCTTCAGCAAGTTATCTCAGGCATTGTACCCCCCAAAAATGGTTGTGATGGACTAAATGTCACTGAAGAGATGCAAATCATGCTACCAGCCATAGATGATGATTGATTAGAAATCTTTATGCAAATGGGTCTTGAGTCTAATACGATGATTGTTTCAACCTTTACACATATCTACACCCCTTGACTGTACTGGTTCATTCTTGTTTGTGCATGGTTTGATTAACATTGAAATGTTACATCAACTATGTGTAGACACCCCACACATGGGCGTGAAGATTGATTGTGTCATGCTTGACAGTAGAAGTCAACTTGGCTCAAATGTTGCATGGGTTTGTTTTCATGTCTATGACTGAGCATGCAAAGAATATAGGGCTCGACACTATATCAGGGACCTGGGACACATAGGCACCCACAATGCAAGTCCAGACCCTCAACATCTCAAAAAATTGCATAGGAGTCATTTATCCACACTCGAGAAAGTATTTTGACCCCATTTCAAACGAAAAGTTAGTGTGTAGCCCTGGCTTATAGATCATTAATTACTTGTATTTATAAACAAAGCTTGATTCTTTGTGGCAACAATATTTGTGATGATTATAATCATTCAATGGTAACTCTTTGTGCAAATGCACCAGATGTGACTTTCTTTTTTAAGTCATAAAGACTTTAACTCTTTATGCGCCACTTAAAAAACCCCCCTGTGCCACATTCTTTTAGGGTCACACATTTCGAGGGAATCTTTATTGACTCTGCTGAATCAAGAGGCTATAACTCTTCACTGGATGATCATGATGAAAAATATTGTGCAGCAAAGTTGTAGACCGGAAAACGTGCTTTTCGATGAACCGTCATTTGTTATATTTTGAATTATCATTTTTATAATAATCATAATTATATAATGTTTAATTTTTCTTATTTACGGCAGTTTTTTATCCCTCTAGAATTTCTTATTTAGCAATGATAAGACATCTTCAAATCGAATCTATTAGAAAGGTGGACTTCTTACCTTTCTTTACATACCTTGCTCAAGTATTCTAACAATTCAGAAGGTTAGTATTTAGGTTGTTGAAGAAAAGAAGTTCAATAGGGAGAGACTTGAAAGTACCCCGCTCAGCCACCCTTGACAATGGGCTAATCTGCCCATTGAAATCCCTATTACCCCAGGTTATTGTCAATGTCCGGTTTAGCGGGGCATGAAAAGGGACGTCGTGGGGATGTTTTTCTTTGTTGTGCCATGATAAGTCAATAAGAAATAAGAGAATGTTATTGATTTTGCCCACTGGTATGAGCATGTAAAAATGGTATAGGCATAATATATTATATGTGATATACATGACATAATCAGCATCTTATTGAAATGTCTCATTATGAATGTTCACCGCATCTGTTCTCTCACCTTCTTTACCCCTCAATAAAATTGATTTCAAGTACATTTATCACAGCCATAGATATACAAAGAAAGAATGAATCAATCTTAAAATATAAACTATATTGCATTGTTTTCCATTTACTTTATTGTGAGAGAGCTTATTATCAGAAATGATTGACGAGTGGAGTATGCAATGAATAAAATATGGAGAACGGACGTGAGAGACATTATGAGAGAGAAATAGTGATATGAAATGAAAGGACTTTACTGTGAATAAAGATTATAAGAGAAAGAGATAAAGATGACGGCAAGACAGGATACATATTGATACGAAAATAACAATAATAATGAGATAGAGATGACGGAAAGAAAGAGAGTAAACACTGATAGCATAAGAATGAATAAAGATAATAAGAGAAAGATATAGAGATGACGGCAAGACATAGGGTACATATAGATAGGAAAATGATAATAATAATAAGATAGAGATGACGGAAAGAAAGAGAGTAAACACTGATAGCATAAGAATGAATAAAGATAATAAGAGAAAGATATAGAGATGACGGCAAGACATAGGGTACATATAGATAGGAAAATGATAATAATAAAAAGATAGAGATGACGGAAAGAAAGAGAGTAAACACTGATAGCACAAGAATGAATAAAGATAATAAGAGAAATATATAGAGATGACGGCAAGACATAGGATACATATTGATAGGAAAATAATAATAATAATAAGATAGAGATGACGGCAAGAAAGAGAGTAAACACTGATAGCATAAGAATGAATAAAGATAATAAGAGAAAGATATACAGATGACGGCAAGACATAGGGTACATATAGATAGGAAAATGATAATAATAATAAGATAGAGATGACGGCAAGAAAGAGAGTAAACACTGATAGCATAAGAATGAATAAAGATAATAAGAGAAAGATATAGAGATGACGGCAAGACATAGGGTACATAATTATAGATAGGAAAATGATAATAATAATAAGATAGAGATGACGGAAAGAAAGAGAGTAAACACTGATAGCATAAGAATGAATAAAGATAATAAGAGAAAGATATAGAGATGACGGCAAGACATAGGGTACATATAGATAGGAAAATGATAATAATAATGAGATAGAGATGACGGCAAGAAAGAGAGTATTACACTCATAGCATAATAATGAATAAAGATAATAAGAAAAAGATATACAGATGACGGCAAGACATAGGGTACATATAGATAGGAAAATGATAATAATAATAAGATAGAGATGACGGAAAGAAAGAGAGTAAACACTGATAGCATAAGAATGAATAAAGATAATAAAAGAAAGATATAAAGATGACGGCAAGACAGGATACATCTTTCTTTCATTAGTTTTATTCATTCTTATTCTATCACTGTCTACTCTCTTTCTTGCTGTCATCTCTAGCTCTTTCATTAATTTTTATTCATTCTTATTCTATCAGTCTACTCTCTTTCTTGCTGTCATCTCTATCTCTTTCTTTCATTATTTTTATTCATTCTTATTCTATCACTGTCTACTCTCTTTCTTGCTGTCATCTCTATCTCCTTCTTTCATTTTTTTTATTCATTCTTATTCTATCAGTCTACTCTCTTTCTTGCTGTCATCTCTAGCTCTTTCATTAATTTTTATTCATTCTTATTCTATCAGTCTACTCTCAGGGAACACTTTTATCACTAGAGTCTTCGTCACTGCTCGATTCGTCGGAATCAGAGTCCATGCTCCATGCTTCCATAGTAACAAGATCTCGAGCCTCCTCTACACTAAACACACGTTGACGTTTTCCAGCAGGTGCCATCGTAACATCAGTAAAAAAAATCCAAAGAAAACCGCTAAATACACGGTAATTTCGAATGTAACACTATGAAGAAAAACAGTTTACCGGAAAGTGTGCGATGTATACAATGTAAACAATAGTAAACGCAACGCGTGGCTACACACTGCGAGCGGTATTATGAATGTCTAATTGACTCGTGTACATCTGTGCAAAAATGCGAAGTTGGCACGCCTACGTCCGTGCAAATCGGCGAACAAAGCAAACAAAGAGTTAATAGAATTATCATTGTAGGACAGGATTGTACAGGATTACTCAGGATTACTCAGGAGGCTCCTAGAGAGCTTAAGGAGCTGACAGGCCTCCTGATAAGTCAAGAAACCAACCCTAATCTCACTGACTTTGTACAGCATTGCCAAGGATACCCATCAAGAGCTACACACTGTATGGACTATGAAGTCCTACAAGAAACCTTTCTTGCAACCATTGAATTTAGTTTGCTGGAAATATCTGTCTTCCTGTGAAAACTGTGTTCTTTCTGCAAGAATGTAACCACTATATACTCTTCTAGAGAGCAAGGAGCTGACAGGCCTCCTGATATTAAGCCAAGAAACCAACCTAATCCTAATCTTACTTTGTACTAAGGCATTGCTGAGGCTACCTATGAACGCCTACAAGAAAGCGTCTATACAGTCATTTAATCTGATTTGTTTAATATTTCTGTTAAAGGAGCTACACAAAGAAAATTCACTAACAACTCATAATTCGAACAAATTACATATGGATGGAAAGATTTTCTCTTGAAAAGCATGAACAATTTGCTGAGAAATCATAAAGATATCATATCAAAGGCGTAAAATGCAATTTTTCAAGACCCTCCTTAGACCCCGGAGCGCCCCTGAACGTAAGTCAAACACACAAGCGTAGCGAGCTCTGAATTGTGACGTCACACACTGGACGAACAGTTCAGTGCCGTGTAGCAGTATGCAGCTAGCGAGCCGTGTCCCGTATGTGACGTCACAAATATTGACGCTCTACAAAGAACCGCTGAAGGTAGAAAATCTGGATCTCAAAACTAACATTTTTGAGAGTTGATTACTGCAGGCCCCAAACATATTTTGAAGAGAAGAGTTGTTGTATTTGATCGGCAAGGCTTCCCCTTCGCAATGATATGAGTTTTGCATTAATTCAAAACACTTTTGATTCTTTGTGTGGCTACTTTAAAGAAGTTCTGTCTTTTGTGTGTTCAACCAGTGGGTCTTACCAGAAGAATAACATATCTTGTTTTACCTTCTGTCCTGTACAGGATTGCTCAGGAGACTTCTAGAGAGCAAGGAGCTGACAGGCCTCCTGATATTAAGCCAAGAAACCAGCCTAATCTTACTTGCTTTGTACTAAGGCATTGCTGAGGCTACCTATTATAGCGCAATGAATTATAAATGCCTTCAAGAAAGCTTCTGTACAGTCATTTAATATAAATTGTTTCATCTTTCTGTTAAAGCAGTTCTGTCTTTTGTGTTTTCAAGTAGTGGGTCTTACCAGAAGTATAACCTGTATTCTTGATTTTAATTTTTTGTCTTTCACAGGATTGCTGAGGAGACTTCTAGAGAGCAAGGAGCTGACAGGCTTCCTGATGAGGCCAGACACCCAACCTAGCATCTCCTCTGTCATAAAGAAGGTAACACAATCCTCTGGGTATATACCTTTACAGGATGGGGGAAAGACAACCCCATCATGTTGAAAGGTTAATGGGGCATCCCATTTTACTTTCTTGGACCAAGATTAGGATCATGCTTTAATTTCAAAGGGTCCTATTGAGAGCAGGCTCAAGTTACCAGGATGATTTCAGTGACCTTTCATTGTCTATCAAAGACTAAAGTAATAAGCCTTGTACCTGCCCCCCCCCCTCTCTCTGTCTCTCTCTCTCTCTCTGTCTCTCTGTCTCTCTCTGTCTCTTTCTCTCTCCCTCTCTTTCTCTCTCTCTCTCTTTTTCTGTCTCTCTCTCTCTCTCTCTCTCTCTCTCTGTAGTTGCCTTTCAGTATCAAGCATTCCCTTTCTGGATATGTTAACTCCCATTGGCAGGGCTCCATAGTAACTTTGTTCTCGGGGTTCCGGAGCAAATACAGGGGGTCAGTTTGTTTACATTTTAACATTTTGGGGATCTGTGTGTAACCTTCTTCCTTTTCTTTTTAGTTTTAATATATTTTAATGATTTATATACTTTTGATAGCTTGAACGATACTATTTCCCCTTAAAAATGACTAAAATATTCCTCTCATTACAACCTGTGCTAGTTCAACATCTTCTCCTATACTCCATGTTGCCCTTGATTAATTCATTGAAAATTTACCAGTGGTCAAGTGATAATTGATACAACTTTTGAATCTAATATCTCAATTGGGTATGATTCTTTTGATTCATTAAGCTGTGATGTTGAATTTTATCTCCATGACCTTCATAAATCTTAATAATAATAATAATAATAATAATAATAGCCTAATAGTCCACTCCAAATTTTATTAAACCGAAACGGAAATTTTTTAAGTATCAAAATATTTAGAAATTATGGCTTATTTCCTCATTCATGCATATAACTTTCACTCTGTGCATGTTTTCCTCTTGCTGCCTATTTTAACACTAATTTGAGTTTTGTATCGCATCATATGTTTACTTTAAATCTATACTGTTTCCTTTGCAATTTATGTTCTTCAGGTTATATGCATCTCATGGACATGGATGTTTCAACTCTCACGCTGATTTCAAGTAATGTACCTTGTCAAAATTGATTACGGAACCAATTAAAAGCAGTGAAGAACAAGACCAAAACCACAAGTCTCCTTCGAATATTTCTCTTGAAATCTCATTTACAATCTAACATAAAACACATGACACATGTAGGACTCGGTTTAGGCCTGAGTGCATATCCCCCCCCCCCCCTCCTTCCGTGTCTCTCTCTTTCATCTTTATGTCTGTCTCTATCACCCTCTTTTTTTCTCATTTTTTGTTTTCTCTTCACTCTCTCCCACTCTCCCTCTCTCTCCCTTCTTTTCTCCCGGATCTACCCAAACACATCTTCATGTAAGGGCTCAGTTCAGGCCAGAATCCATAGCCCCACTCCCCACCTCTCTCTCTCTCTCTCTCTCTCTCTCTCTCTCTTTCTCTCTCTCTCTCTTTCTCTTTCTCTCTGTCCTTTCTTTTTCTCCCTGGATCTCCCCAGGGTGCATACATTCCATACTGGGGCTACCTAACGGCCCATCAACCGGGTCGATGTAACATTTTTAATCTAAAAGCCAGATGTGGGTTCATGAATCGAGCTCTGAACGTAGATGGCAGTATAACACTTAAATCAATGTTAAAAAGGCTGTTCTCCATGGAGGAATTTAAAAAACAACCTTTTAAACTTCTTTCTTGTAGAGATGATGTGGCGGAAAGTTCCAAGAAAGTGGGGGTGGGTGTAAAGGATGGTGATATATAATATATTCACGTTAACATGATATGCATAATTATTAACCATATCAGACATCTGAGCAGGGAAATTTTTAAATGTTATTGCCCTCAAGGTTTGATGGACAAGTGAACAAAATTACAATAAGTTAGTCCGCTCAGAAAAGTCAATGGGATTTTGTGTGTAATTTGGCGGGCAATATAGGTTATACAGTAAACCAATGCGCAAATATTTTAGCCCGCTCAGAAGGGTCAATGGGATTTGTGTGTAATTTGGCGGGCGATATAGGTTATACAGTAATCCAATGGACAAATATTTTAGCCCGCTCAGAAAAGTCAATGGCAAAATGCGTGTTAAACTAGTGAGCAATAATATAGTGCCAGTTGTAATTCACATCGCGCATCAGCTATTGTAATTTACATCGCGCATCGTGTATAAGAAAATGCGCACTTTGCGCGAACTCTTTGTGACGTAACAATCACACCCTAGGCAAACTGTTTGCATTGTATCGAAAATCTGTCAAACACTGGATGAACAGTGCTGGTTTGACAATGTTTTTGCAACTTCTTATGCTAGGAGACCCTGTGTAGCCTACGTAATTTAAGAGTATAAGATAGTAAAGAGTTTCTTGTTTGCTCTAGATGTCTGATGTGGTTAATAATACGTCGCTGTTTTCACGAAGTGACGGTAGTGAAAACAAAATGCATTCACTTTGCGTGACGATTTTTCTCACTACCGTCACTTCGTGAAAACAAGGACGAATAGTAATATTGACTGCCTAATTCAGGGCAATACGACTTGTCATATATCACCCTCACCTTCGGTTCGGGCGATATATGTCGTATTGCCCAGAAGGCAGTCAATATTAGTTAATTATTTTTAAATGGTTAGAAAAGTCTGTTTTTAAGTACTGCTTGCATTGAGTGAGCTCTCACATACTTATGCTTGTGCATGATATCTTATGGCAAATTGTAATTCTTTTTGCACAGTTGAGGACATCTTTGTACAATTTTTCATTGCTCTGTTGTATGCCCTTAAAGTTGTGTAAAATTACTATGATAATACCTTCACGTTAGAGAAATAAGTATAGACTTATAATTGTGAACCCCCACCCCAGTCTAATAGGTATGGTCATCTTTATGCTGACATCGATTTAGATCTCGATGTTGTTTTACAAGGAAAAGTCACCACAAGATGGGGCTCTTTCGGTTCATGCACTGGTGCCATCTGTGATGGCAGTGGCTCTGCTCAGTATAATTTGCCAGATTAATCCCTGCCAATTTTATTCCCCTAAATATAAATGAGGTCCTACAAATCAGCTGTGTTCAATGCATCTCACAGGTTGTGGTACAGGACTCTATGCCTGTAAGACACAGGCAGAGGCTATTCTTGTAACCGGACATTAATTGATGAAGATCGATGATGATGATCTTTATTTCTCGTCTGTTCTTTACCTCATAGATACTCCTGAGCAGGAATGAGGTTCTACAAATCAGCTGTGCTCAATGCATCTCACAGGTTGTGGTACAAGACTCTCTGCAAGCAGGAGACAGAGGCCCTTCATCAACCCAGACATTATTTGATGAAGATGGTGATGATCTTTTATTTCTTGTCTGTTTTTTCCCCCTCAGATACTCCTGAGCAGGAATGAGGTTCTACAAATCAGCTGTGTTCAATGCATCTCACAGGTTGTAGTACAGGACTCTCTGCAAGCAGGAGACAGAGGCCCTTCATCAACCCAGACATTATTTGATGAAGATGGTGATGATCTTTTATTTCTTGTATATTTTTCCCCCTCAGATACTCCTGAGCAGGAATGAAGTTCTACAAATCAGCTGTGTTCAATGCATCTCACAGGTTGTAGTACAGGACTCTCTGCAAGCAGGAGACAGAGGCCCTTCATCAACCCAGACATTATTTGATGAAGATGGTGATGATCTTTTATTTCTTGTCTGTTTTTCCCCCTCAGATACTCCTGAGCAGGAATGAGGTTCTACAAATCAGCTGTGTTCAATGCATCTCACAGGTTGTAGTACAGGACTCTCTGCAAGCAGGAGACAGTGGCCCTTCATCAACCCAGACATTATTTGATGAAGATGGTGATGATCTTTTATTTCTTGTCTGTTTTTTCCCCCTCAGATTCTCCTGAGCAGGAATGAGGTCCTACAAATCAGCTGTGTTCAATGCATCTCACAGGTTGTGGTACAGGACTCTCTTCAAGCAGGAGACAGTGGCCCTTCACACACCCAGGCACTTCTGGACGAGGATGTGGCTGAATTCCTCTTTGAAGCTCTTTCAACCACCAATGATCTCATGCTCAGGTAACAAACAATGTCTGTGGTAATGAAACATGCGCAGATTACCGTAGTTTCAGTGCTTCAAAGAAGAATCACCTAATAACTTGACTCATGTTTAGGTCTATTAATTGAAAGGCCTAATGATCGTCCATTAATAAATTGTGTAATGAGGTGCTTCATCCTGCATGTACATGACTCCCAACACCAAGCTAAAAAAGAAATTAAAAATCACAAAACATTTCATTGGTAATATACATTGAATTTCAGTTAAAAATAGTGAACATTAGAAAATATGTCACTTTTTCTTTTTTTTCAAAATCAGTGTTACCACATCTTAAATAAATATTGAATGCTCTGCATCATATGTAATTGCTAGGAAGCGATGTCTATAAATCACAATGTAAGTGTTCATTATTATTGTTATCATCGTTGATATTTCTCGTCTGAATAACTTAAATTTCTCTTCAACCAGCTCCATATTTTGCTGCCTGTTGCTGCTGTCTAAGCATGAGACATTTTTCACCAAGTGTCACACGGTCTATGGGATAGAAGCTATTGTTAGAACACTGCGACACTGCCAGAAGACTAGTAGTACCGACACACTGACACAGGGGTAAGACCGAACATCTGACATTTATTTTGCAGTACAAAATTATTTTTTCAATATGTCAAATTGAACCACTATTACATGTTCATCATCGACTACGTACTGTGTATTTTGCTTTGAAAAAGTGTTTGATATGTTCACTTTCTCTCTTTGTATTATGATTACAAGCAGTATTTTAAATTAAATAGAATAGAATATTTATTGAGGTCATGTTCGACTTTGAGAATAATATTTGCCTCCCCCCCCCCCCCATAAATACTGGTACCACTTTACACTTTACATAATTTTGTAATTTGTACATTGCTCCTTTTATTTACAGACTGTTGCTGCTTTCTGAAATTCTTCACAGGTATGGACACATGGTTATGTAATTATAGTTGTCTCTAAAAAGTTACAAATTTTGCAAGCAATTCTCAGATGTGTTGTAAGAGTCGCATAATCAAAGACACAAATTCTTGTCCTTAAAGGTAAAGGCCAGTATTGGAAACACCCCAATTTCGAAAAATGAAATGAAAGTTCTTATTACCAATCATGTGAAAGAATATATGATTTGATTTGATAAGGTTTTATTCGAATATTCAACAATACAGCTGGAGGCTGATACAAGTGAATTTACAGGGTAAAAATAATTCCATAGACATAAAAATATAATTATAAGCTTTAACACTTTTAAATGAATCCAGATATAAACAGTACATAGTAAATAAATCATAAATAATGAAAACAATAATAATATGTTTTGAATATTACATGATGATAAAATTTTTGACGGTAAACCGCCTACTAATTGATATATTTGGTAAATTAGTGTATCTCTTGCCTGTTGAGAGATATCAAATGCATGTGTCGCGCACGTGTGTGTAGTCCCATATACATCTTTCTGTGTACAGTGCTTCTAACTTTATGAAGACTTCGCCAAATTTTTTATCATTTTGATGATTCCAGAACCTTGCAGTACATCTACGCTAGATGATCAACCTTTTCTGATCGATTTCACAACGTTTCTTTCACAATGCAATTGCAAGACCATAACTGGTCTTTAGCTTTAAAGAAGACACGTAAATACCAACTTTATGGGAATGAACTGTGCAGTTGAATCAGTAATGTATCTCATATCTTTGATCAAATGATTGTATCATGAATAATGGATGACCTCTACCAGACTGACTGTCATTTCTGTATATTCTCCATGCATTACCAGCTAACAGTAAGGATTTACAGTGATTCCAGCAAATAAATTTATATCTGAATTCCATTTCTGTCACTGAATGACTACGGTATATATAAGCATTAATTATTATTATGCCTCCGCCACCGAAGGTGGTGCCGGAGGCATCATGTTTTCGGGTTGTCTGTCCGTACGTCCGTCCGTACGTCCGTCCCGTTTGACCGTTATCACAATATCTCAAGAACCATTTAAGATTTAAACTTAAGACTCGGGAATAGTATTTATCACCATAGGAAGACGATCTGATTAGATTTTGGAGTACGTAGGTCAAAGGTCACAGGTCACAGAGGTCAACTTATGAAATTCCTTGTATTGAGTTTGTTAGCGCGATATCTCAAGAACCATTTGAGATTTAAACTTCAAACTTAAGGATAGTATGTATCACCATAGGAAGACGATCTGATTAGATTTTGGAGCACGTATGTCAAAGGTCAAGGGTCACAGACGTCAACTTATGAAATTCCATACATTAAGATTGTTATCATGATATCTCAAGAACCACTGGAGATTTAAACTTCAAACTTAGTGATAGTGTGTATCACTATAGGAAAACAATCTGATTACATTTTGGAGCACGTAGGTCAAAGGTCAAGGGTCATAGAGGTCAACTTATGAAATTCCATACATTGAGATTGTTATCATGATATCTCAAGAACCACTGGAGATGTAAAAACTTCAAACTTAAGGATAGTATGTATCACCATAGGAAGACGATCTGATTAGATTTTGGAGCACGTAGGTCAAAGGTCAAGGGTCACAGAGGTCAACTTATGAAATTCCATACATTGAGATTGTTATCATAAAATCTCAAGAACCACTGGAGATTTAAACTTCAAACTTAATGATAGTGTGTATCACCATAGGAAGACAATCTGATTAGATTTTGGAGCACGTAGGTCAAAGGTCAAGGGTCACAGACGTCAACTTATGAAATTCCATACATTGAGATTGTTATCATGATATCTCAAGAACCACTGGAGAATTTTCACTTCAAACTTAATGATAGTATGTATCACCATATCATAATATCTCAAGAACCACTGGAGATTTAAACTTCAAACTTAATGATAGTGTGTATCACCATAGGAAGACAATCTGATTAGATTTTGGAGCACGTAGGTCAAAGGTCAAGGGTCACAGAGGTCAACTTATGAAATTCCATACATTGAGATTGTTATCATGATATCTCAAGAACCACTGGAGATTTAAACTCCAAACTTGTTTAAATTGCTCTATGGCGGAGGCATCATTTTCGACTGCGCGCAGTCAAAATTCCATCTAGTTTTATAATGAATGTAAATTGTTCATGCGTGGGTATATAGTCGTTCATGAAGTAGGCCACTTGGCAAACAATGAGCCAACAGGTATTATGCTCCCGTACGGACGTACGCATGAAAAGACATTAGTATGCACAGGAGCGTAATACCTGTTGGCTCAGTGTGCTGCCCTCTATATACCCACACTTGAACAACTTTAACAACCTTGGATTCTACTAGGCAACCCAAAGATGTGAAATTGCTAACCAGTCTGACTATCAGCAAACACATTTGTGACATGTTAGCTCATTGCATCAAGCATCAGGACAATGCGGTTTCTACACAAGCCATCCAAGCATTCACTCACTTGTTAAGGTAAGTAAGGTTTATGTGGAGAAATGCAATGTCAAACATCTTGCAGAACTTCTCTGGAAGATAGTTCACAATCTAATATTCTATTGTGTAGACAATTCATTAAAAAGAATGATAATGTAGTATTGTACATGTGAAAAAAGGTTGTCAGTTTGGATATGGTGGCTTTTCTTTAGAGAGTGTATATAAGGGTCTGATCATTTTGTGTAGTGACTGAATTCTACAAAACAGAGAGACCTGATAGTAATGTAGTAAGATATTCAGATGCGATCATAAAGAGATGCAAATCTTAAAGTAGTAGAATGCACCATAAATGTTTAAATGTGAATTCCAACAACTTTGTATGATTACTTGTGGATGTAGATTAATGGCTGTGCTTTTGTGGGATATTCAATTTTGTTCTCTCTCAATTTCCCTTGGTACTGTAATACGAGTATAAGGGGTTCCCCTTGATCAACAAGAAAAGTCAGGGAAAAGGTACCTGTCATTCATACAACTTTGTTTTTCTGGTTGGCAACCTCCTGCAGGAGAGATCACCTCCCAAGTCCAGTTGACTTCAAGTCCTTGGCCGAGCCTTTAGACGGGACCCTTGCCGTGCTTCAGAGGCTACCCAGGCCAGTGTGCAGGAGGACGAGCCAGAATCCCGGCAGGGACTCAAGGAGGACTGGCAAGTTCAGTGTGGAGAGTCAAGGGGAAGCTGTTGCCAAGAAACATCAGAATGTTCTGGAGCTGGTCATGTCTGTCTTGTTGAATGGTCTAAGGTAATTCTAGTAAATTAAAAATACAGTCAAACCTGCTTTAGTGACCACCTGTCTACAACAAGCACATTTTTGTTTCCCTTGAAAACGGCTTCCTCCATTGCATACACTTGTAAAGTACCTCTGAAGCACCTCCTAATAAGAAGTTCTATACACATTTTATGCTATTTAACAGGTTGGTCAAGGTTTGTCAAGAGGACCCTACATCAGATCCTGGTGTGTTTCTAAAACCCAAGACCGCCAATCTACTCAACCAGTCAAACTCCAAGTGCACTGATCGATTGTCACCGATAGATAATGCACTATATGAGAACAACCTGTCTTCTTTCACGCTGTATCTGATGGAGTCTCTGGATAGTGTTTGCATTCCTGCAGTCATGGTGAGTTACTCCTATTAAACTAGAAGTAGAATGCCAGTTTCATGTCATTGTAGACTGTTTAAAAATATTTTTTAAAAATTAAATTCTTTCACTCCAGTGTTTAAGTTTTATGTCAGATGTTTTTTCATGATAAATAAAAATGCACTAATTTCATCTTTCTATTTTGAAGAAATCATACACGTATGTGTCAAATTTGTATTTGCAATCCTTCTTTCATAAAAATGTAACAAGTATTTGATTAGAAAATTTTATGAATTACTGGTATGCAAACTAGTCTATATTGTAGATTACAAATTGTTGCTGTACTCTGTTTTTAGATACTTTTCCAACAGTTTTATCTTCAAATGTCTATTGCACGATGTCTTGTTTTAGGCAAACCATGAGGGATTGAGTCAACCTGGGATCTACACTTCACTCTTTGAATCACTCTCTATCATGCTCTCTCTTCATAAGAATGATGACCTTCACAACCTTTCTGAAAAACTAGGTAAAGAATTATAACATGTAGGAACTTTTGCAATTTGTCTCCTTTTCTGCTTGTTCGCCTCTCCTTCCTTAGCTATCAATGTAGCGCTGTGTACCAGCAGGGGGCCGTTTCTCGAAACCGTCATAACTGTCACGCAACTTGTCAGCTAAGTGTTTCACGAAGCCGTCTTTGCCAAAATGAGCGACAACTTCCGCGACAATGAGTTGTCACTGCTCCAAACCCGTCATATCTTTTTAATTGCTGTAAAGCGCCATCACAAGTCAGTTTGTTGCCATTTCATGGGCCGCGAAATGTACCATTAGTTTCCCTATCATTTTGAGAAAAATATAGACGAGTTCGGTACGTAATATGCTGGGATGCGCAATAATATAAATAACCCCTATCATTACCATCGTTATAAATGAAGATAAATTTGTATACATATGACATTAATGCTGTTCTTGAGACACTTGTGACATTTTGTAGCTTTTACTATATCATCTATTCATAATTTGTCTTAGAAAACATGATGTATTGAATGTCGAAATTTTGCTTAATGCATGATGATGATGCAACACTAACCCTAACCTTGGCTGTGTTTTATTACAGTTGGATCATCATTCATTCAGCTAGCATTAGAAGTAAGACATCGGTTCCAGTCACAAGAAGGGTATGTACAATCATAGACTAGTATGTTAACACGTTGACTTCTACGTTGTCAAAGTCCCATAGGGCTTAATACAGAGACCACCCGGTTCTTAAGGCAACAGGTTAATACATTTGTGCTTTCATCAACATGCTTTTTGTATCCATTTATGTCAGGAAAGTTCAGCCATATCTACATCATTTCCTTCATCAACAGAAGATTTGTGTGGGTGCTTGGTATATTCACACAACATGAGAGATGGTGAATTCATGATGCATTTAGTTCTTCTTCAAAGAATAATGACTCTATAGGTCCAATAATTTGACGCATCATTTTTATGTCTTGACAAATAATACCTATTTGTGTTTCATTGTTACAGCGTTGACAAATTCAGGTACATTTAAAAAACATTTTGTCCAGGCAGACATATAACCCTGCCCTATATTGCCCTCAAACTTTCACAGTTGATTAGGTAATGTGATCAAAGATTTGGTCAAAAGCCAACTAAATGCCAGAGAAAACTATGTTTTCTATAAAGTTGTGGCCTTGAACTGCGGCATGTATAGAGTTTCATACTTTCATTTTTGTTTTCTCTTGGCATATTCTTTATAACCTACAATCAGAGCTTGACACTAAAAGGTGCTCCGGACACATGGAGCCGAAAAAGATCCAGACACATTCCATATTTTGGAAAGGTGTACATAGGGCTCATGCATCAGGGACCCATTTCACAAATCCTTTTTTCAATGACAAATGACAAAAATCAGGGACAAATCTGCTGATAACCAATCAGAAGCAAGGATTTCACTAGCTTATAACAAAAACTGTCATATTTCATTAATGACAAGTTTTGTGAAATGGGGCCCTTGTCTGTAAAATCTCCATTGTGGACCCCCTGCCAAATCGGTTAATGTGGAACCCTTCTTACAATGATGTAACCTATTGATTTTCATGTTCTGTTTAGAATCAAAGAGCTCAAGAGAGCGACCGATACTTTCCTGGTGGACCTACTGCATTGCTTTTCATCTAAAGACACATCCGCATTAGATATGAACATCTCAGTAGACATGGTTCATAGCATCACAGGTAAATGCTTCTCCACGTGACATGTTTCGAACAAGTACAGTCGACCCTGCTTTAGTGGCCACCTGTCTACAAAGACCACATTTTTTGTTCCCCTTGAAAATGGGTTCTCCGGCATTGAAAATGTGCTAAAGGAACCTGTACATAACGACCACCTGCCTATAAAGACCATATTTTCTGTCTCCCTTTGGATGGTTTTTATAGACAGGTTTTAGTGTGTTAACATACCTCTCATTTTCTTTTTCTGTCAAATTCTTGTTACTTGACCTGTTCCTGTATCTTGATGATGATAAGATATAAAACCTTTGGACATGCATTTTAGATGAGAATGAAATAAATTCCAGTATGTAAAAATTGTAAATATAATACGCTGCAGATTGGATAGTTAGACTCGTGAATGAACCTGTAACATGGATTCAAATAGAAATTGATAAATGAAAATATTAAAGGTAGGATAAAGTTGTATCACATAATATTGATTTTTACTTTGTTGCTCTACATGTAGAGCCATATCTGTAGAAGATGTGAACATATCAAAAATTAGTTTCTTTTGATCAACTTGCGAAGTTTAATTCAATGTGATTTGACACAATTGGGCACAATCCGACAGAAATATGTATGTTCATTAGTGACATTAATTTGAATTTAGAAGGCTTTGTTATTTGTTGTTCTTTGTAAATTCTGTCCACTATAAAGGCATGCCTGGAGGTAATGTACATGGAGGTTTCAACAGTAAACCTATAAATCAACATCACAATTGGGTAAACAGCATTGCTTGATATCACATCATTTTATTGAAAAGTAGCTCTAATTGTTTAGATTCTTAATTTTGTTGAAGATGTCACATTGACAATGCAAGAATAAAGACTGACTTCTTGCTCTTTGTGTAGGTTCTCCCAGTGAGATATGTCATCTGCTTGAACGCCATGATGAAACTATCTGCAGAACCAGTAGATCAACATCACATGGAGATATGCAGCAATGTTTGCTGGCTCTAATCTACTATGCTTGGCTATATGGAGACAGGTATCAAACATTAACCATAGTTACTATATGATCATACTCTTTTGTTTATAATATCCTATCTGCAAAATCAACATTTGATTGAAAGGACAAAAAAAGTGATGTTATAGCTTGGGAAAAGATAAGAGATCATAAAATCACTAAAGTAGACAGCATGAATACAATGCTTAGGAGTCTTTTTCAAATTAAGAGCTGTGTATTCATCTATGTCAACATAATTTGTGATTCTGGTGGGATTTGTCTCTTGCAATGGGACTTTACTATGATGTACAGACTTGACGAATGATAGAAGCACCGTTCAACCCATAGTTGTTTGAATACATAAATATCTTTGTTTTCAGAATAACTGCCTCAGTTATTGAAGAGATTTAGCTTATTGCTCACTAAAGAGGGAAAGTTCTTTGTTGTTGTAATTTGATACTTTTCCTTTTGAAGTACATTGTTTGAGTTAATACTACACTTCTCCTTGTGCAGATGGGTTCCAAGCATGGATCTTCTAAATTGCCTGACATCTTTCATCACCCAGCATCCAGACATCACCTCTCTTCCTCTCTCATCTTCTAAGCATCTTCTCTTTCTCTTTGCCGATTGCTTTGTGCACTCTGGAAGTCGAACTGGAAGCAGTGGTAAGGACATTTGTTAAGTTACAAATTAAATCTTTCTCTACTACAGCACACCTATTTGTTTTAATTCATCTAAGTTTTGTAAGTTGTGCCAGTCAACTTTGTAAAAGCTGTTGTTTGAAAGAGTGATAAAGTCATGTAAGTTAGTCAGTCCACTGTTTTCTGTTGTATGACATTAGATTGTAAGTTAAGCCAGTCAACTTTTTAAAATGTTGTGTGGAAATTATTTGTGGTTTATCATTAGTTTGTTTTAATCAGTTGCTGCTGATGCATAAAATGGTGCAAAAAAAATATGCGAGTTATGTTAGTCAATTTTTCAATTCACTTGTTTTTTTGTATGTCAATTTTTAAAATCACCTTTTTTGATGTTGTTATGTCAGTCTACTTTTCAAATCACTATTCACTGTTTTTTTTTTAAATGGTGATGATAGCGACTATTTATTACTTGCAACATCTGAAAGACTAAATACATAATATAAACATAAGTTGTATTTTTCTTTCTCAACACACAGAACATCTTATCATTTTTAATAATTCCTCCAAAGTAATTATTTGTATATCTTCATCAATTACATAATTGCCTAACCGATTTAGAAATACATGTCAATGTTTTTGTTTTCTTGTGCAACAAGCTTGCTACATCTTGGCTGATCACATGACCAGACTAGATGTTCATACATTGTATACCAACCATCGAAGTCTGGTCCAGTGGCTATTTATGGCATCTAACATCCCTCCACAAGCAACACACAAAATAGTAAGTAAAGGTGTTCTTTCACTTATGGTATGTTCTGCACGGTGCACAATTCAAAATGCTTGTTTTTGCATAATTGCTAGGACCAGTTTTGCAGGGGGAAAAATGAATTTGGAAGTGCTTGAATGAGTATACTTCATAAGATATTTTAAGTGGATGTTAAAGGTAAAGACCAGTTTTGGAAAGGCCCCTCTCTCAAAAAATGAAATGGAAGCTCTTATACCATTCATGTGAAACAATACGTTTTGACTAATACAGGATGATGCAAATTTTGCCGGGAAACCACCTACTCATTGATATATTTGGTCAATTATCATATCTATCCGGCCTGGATAAATATCACAAATGCACTTCAACATTGAACATTTGGGCATATATTTCTGATTTTTTTTTTTTTTTTGCGAATTTAGGTTGAGGTACATATCTAAACCTCTGAAGGCAATATTTAAACAATATCCAAGGGATATTTTGCACCCAAAACCGGTCTATATCTTTAAGGGGATTTTTCTTATATGTGCATGAGCTCATGACTGATTTTTCATTAACTTCAGGTTTCATGTTATAGCTTTATTCAAAATTCCATAGAAATATAATACATAGAGCAAACAGTTGCATGAAGGGCCTGCCATAGTTAAATCCAACTTAAAGTTGATCTTAGTCTTTGTGATACACTCCCCATGACTTTTGTTTTTCACTTTCAGTTTGCTGAGTGGATAGATCATCTAGCATTGGATACAGAGGAGGCCAGTCTGGAAGATAATGAGAAAGATGGTGACATTGCACTCACTCTTCATCTAATGGGACAGAATCCATCTTGTTTGGATATCATGATGGTTGGTTTACAGTTCAGTACTTTCAACTCCAAATATATGTCACCTTTATAGAAATGTCACCTGAAAATTTTCTTAGAGTTTAAATACATGTAGAGTTGACAGAGTTAATCCCATTTTACAAGTGCATATTAACCACCTTAATGTTCATTGATTCATATTTCCAAGCTATGCATAATCTTCTCTTACTGTATTAATGGCCGGCTGTACTAGTTCAGCCAGAAGGGATTAGACCACACAGCGAGGTCACTGACAGGTGGCTATCTCATTAACTCAGCTCTCAATTAACATTTAAAAAAAAAGGATCATGGGGGACCAACAGACACCGATTGGGAAGTTTTCTATATAGAGGGAGCAAGTACAATGTAGCTACAAGTAGTACAGTGTGGCTTTAAGACTATTTTAGCCTTTAATGATTAGCTGTTTTCAAAAATCAGTCTTCGAATAATAAGAGAGGCATGCATCTGAAGAAATTGGAATACAAATTGCAAGTTGTATAAGGAGCAGTTACAACTTGTTACTTGAAATTGATGATATGATGTTCACATTCAAATCCCATGTTTTCTTGTTTATGGCCTTGATTTTCTTTTCATCATGTTTATGTTGATAGGATATGCTACAGCATGCTCCTTTCCCAACCAGGCCCAAGTGTGCAAGCCTCATCAAACGGTTACTCAGCTCTACAGCAGACCAAACCCTTGATGATACCCAGGACATGGACAGGATCAAGAAGAGGATGCCAGATCTACTCCAAGCTTGCACCTTGACAGATCCATCAAGACAAACAGGTTGTGGGCTAGAGAGAGAGATCAAGAGAGTTATCCTTATTCTATACATAGTATGGAATTTCAATGGCAACATCAGTTGGCATACTAACACACTATTTTACGGGTTCTAGGACACCTACCCCCTGCACAACTACCCCCTGGATAACCACCCCAAGTCAACTACCCCTAGGACAACTACCCCCTAGGGCAACCACCCTTTAGGACGACTACCGACCCCCCCCCCCCCCCCCCCGGACAACTACTCCCTGGACAATTACCCCCTAGGACAACCATCCTCTAGGATAAATACCACCGGGACAACTATCCTAGGGGGTAGTTGTCCTAGGGGGGTAGTTGACTGGGGTGGTTATCCGGGGGTTGATGTCCAGGGGGGAAGGTGTCCGGATATTTGATGACGTTCAGGCTGTTTTAAAAAATGAATTAAAATCTCATCAACTAACTTTTACCGAACGCAAAGTTCTTGAATTTATAAATAGAGTATAATAAGAGTATAATATTTCACTTTTAATGTAAATACATCATAGTTGTGTTGCTGGGTGAAATTTTCTTTGTACTTCAGTGTATTATACTTAAAAAGCAATTACGTTGTGTATGAGAAATTACTAACCATTCTTCCTTGCCAAGTTGGGTATATTTCTTCCATTCCATGTACAAACAATAGAACAATGATATATCTGTGGGTTCCTTTGCCCACTTTCCCAGACTTTGTCCATTAGCCATCCTTGATGAGACTGTTTAAAGCCCATCTGTACTATTGTACAGAGGGATTTGACCACCCTGCAAGGTCACTGGATAGGTGGTTATCTCATCAAACGAGCTCTCAATTAACAAAAGAAACAGAGGGTCATGGGGGACTGATGGTCACCGATAATGCATTGTTTGTTATATAGAGGGTGCAAGTAGCTATATAATTAGTGCAGTGGGGCTTTAAAAGGTGGTGGAAATATCTTGATCTATTTTCTGACATATTCCAGGTACAGAGCTTGGCTGTACATGTATTCTAGAGGTCCTCTGCACACTGTACCAGAATCATCCATCAACCACCCTGGATGAGATAGATCTCAAGATTATTTACCATGGTAAGATAGATGTCTGCATCTCCATATATCCTTACATGTATTTTAATGCCTTTTTTTCATTATGATTTCTATTGATTATACAGTCAAACCTGTCTATAGCGACCGCCCAAGGGAAACACAAAAAGTGGTCTTTGTAGACACGTGGTCACTAAAGCAGTTTGACTACCGTATTTGCCGGCGATAAGGCCGCAGCCCCAACTTTGACATTTCGTAGAGGAAAAAAAAAAAAAAAAAACGGACCAAACAAAAGAATCATAACTTTCTCTTAGAACACTCTTTTTTTTTACAAACTGATACCAAATTCATCAATATTCTTATAAATTTACAAGAAGTTTACCTAAAAAATGATCGTAATTTAGCAGATCTTCATCGACTTTTAAGCTATCACTGTATCGCACGCAGATTTATTATCCTACAATACCCCTACCACGATGTGCAGTGTAATCCGGAATTGCGTTTTTGACCTGCGCAGTTGCGTTGCGCGGCAGCTAGCTCCGTAAGTATAGTAATGGCCTGTCCCTTCTTTTACTTTTTGGCAATGCAATGGTACTTAGATCTAGATCTATCGGCAGATTTTATTAGAAAAATAAATTATGCTCTTTTTTTCGTCTTCATGTCAACTATGCAACATAAAATTGTGTGGAGTTATTTTAGAATTTTCCTGTACCGTTGTCTAGTCATTCCAGTCCCATATGTTCAAATGAACGTGCTGTTTTGACCGCTGAATTTTGTTGTAGCGTAAAGGCCGACCCCGACTTTTTGATATTTTTCTTCCAAAAACACTGCAGCCTTATCGCCAGCAAGTACAGTACCTGCAAAACATAAATATGATAGTAGACACTTGCATATAAGTATAACAATTTAATTTATCTTTCGCCCAATGTACCATAATCTATACATGAAGTGATATTTTCTCATTTCTGTGTGACCATTGTATAGGCACTCAAAATTGACACCTGCCATATTGAATTCTCCATAGTTTTAAATAAAGATTGCGCCATCATCTTTTTATGCCTCCGCCACCGAAGGTGGTGCCGGAGGCATTATGTTTTCGGGTTGTCCGTCCGTACGTCCGTCCCGTTTGACCGTTATCACAATATCTCAAGAACCATTTAAGATTTAAACTTAAGACTCGGAAATAGTATTTATCACCATAGGAAGACGATCTGATTAGATTTTGGAGTACGTAGGTCAAAGGTCACAGGTCACAGAGGTCAACTTATGAAATTCCTTGTATTGAGTTTGTTAGCGCGATATCTCAAGAACCATTTGAGATTTAAACTTCAAACTTAAGGATAGTATGTATCACCATAGGAAGACGATCTGATTAGATTTTGGAGCACGTATGTCAAAGGTCAAGGGTCACAGAGGTCAACTTATGAAATTCCATACATTGAGATTGTTATCATGATATCTCAAGAACCACTGGAGATTTAAACTTCAAACTTAGTGATAATGTGTATCACTATAGGAAAACAATCTGATTAGATTTTGGAGCATGTAGGTCAAAGGTCAAGGGTCACAGAGGTCAACTTATGAAATTCCATACATTGAGATTGTTATCATAATATCTCAAGAACCACTGGAGATTTAAACTTCAAACTTAATGATAGTGTGTATCACCATAGGAAGACAATCTGATTAGATTTTGGAGCACGTAGGTCAAAGGTCAAGGGTCACAGAGGTCAACTTATGAAATTCCATACATTGAGATCGTTATCGCGATATCTCAAGAACCACTGGAGAATTTTCACTTCAAACTTAATGATAGTATGTATCACCATATCATAATATCTCAAGAACCACTGGAGATTTAAACTTCAAACTTAATGATAGTGTGTATCACCATAGGAAGACAATCTGATTAGATTTTGGAGCACGTAGGTCAAAGGTCAAGGGTCACAGAGGTCAACTTATGAAATTCCATACATTGAGATTGTTATCATGATATCTCAAGAACCACTGGAGATTTAAACTCCAAACTTGTTTAAATTGCTCTATGGCGGAGGCATCATTTTCGACTGCGCGCAGTCAAAATTCCATCTAGTTTTGTTGTAAATTAGTGTGTCAATTTTATGGTGTGACTTCTACAAATATTGTGTTTTGACTCAATAAAAATATAGACCGGTAGTGGTAAAATTGCGGTCCAAGGGTGTTGGGTGCAAAATATCCATCCAATATTGTTTACATATTGCCTTCAGAGGTTTAGATGGCAATAATTCAACCTAAATTTGCAAAAAAGCAGAAATATATGCCCCAATGTTCAACGTTGAAGTGCATTCGCGATATCTTTCAAGGCCGGATCAATATGATAATTTTACCAAATATATCAATGAGTAGCAGTTTCCTTGCAAAATTTGTATCATCACGTATTAGTAAAAACATATTCTTTAATATGATTGGTAATAAGAGCTTCCATTTCATTTTTTGAGATGAGGGGCGTTTCCAAAACTGGTCTACACCTTTAAGATTCAATGCTCTTTGTGGAGAGGTTTTCATGCTTTTAAAATGTCTTCAACATCTCTCTTTTCAAACTTGTATCTTTTCTCTTGCATTATATTTCAGTCATCAATATTCTGACAAAGCAGACCAATAAAGACCAAGATGCAATCCTTGCCAGCTTGAATTTCTTGACAAATCTTCTTGTTCACACCGCGAGGCATGGTGAAAGTAGAGGTAAGATTGGAGTTTGTTAACTCTTTATTTGTTTCTACATTCCCCCTCCAGTGTTTGGAGCACGGTGCAGTGGATCCCTGTGTCTACCGCGGCTGCGCTCTGGGCGCGGGGTGTGGCAGGTGGAGACAGTTTGGGTGGTGGACTAATCTAATTAATTTAAGCTCCTAAAATCATTTAATGATTTCTTGTGTTATGTTTTATAATATTGTTTTTTTTAATCATGTCACAACTCTGTATTATATTATATCATGTTAGATTGTTTTGAGTACCAAATAAAATATCATTTGAAAAACAAAAAAAATAGCACTACAGTACAGATAAAGGGGAAACTCTGCTTGCGATATTAAGAAAGATAGTAGAAATTTTAAAGTAAAGCTAGTCTTCATGTAGTATTTAAATTGTGTCTTTCCCGTATTAGAAGTTAAACATGTTTAATTAATTTGTTCCTTGTAATATAAGATCTGTGTCAAATTTAACCTCTAAGTAGACTAAATGAAATCTAATTGAATTTCATGGCTCTTGGTCGCTGAAAATCAGTAAATCTGTAATGCTTCTCTGATCTCTCCAGTGTTATCCCTGATCGTTTCCAATGAGGCCATCCTGACATGTATCCAGCACCATTGTAACTTGGAACCGACATCTTCTCTTCTCCTTCGCATGCAGTGCTCTGCTCTCACTCTACTTGCACACCTGGCCATCTATCAGAAACAGTTTAAGATGAAGGTAGGATTTATGCCCCTCTCATTAATTGTATCCCCCCGGCAGTATGCCTCTGAAAATGGATCCTAATGGCGTATGTATGACATATTTTCCAAAATGGACCCTAATGGGGTATGTGTTGGAACGAATCTGATTTGTCTAAATTGTGGGGTGAAAGTATTGATGTGATTTTTAAGCAATAACAATTCAAACACACCAATCAATCAAACACGGCAACTCAGCATCCCAACTTTTTTAACTACAGCAATTTTCTGTTTTCTTGCCCTGACAGCAATGATAACAGCTCTGCAGTGTTTTTGTCTTTCTAATTGTTTCTTCACACCTTTCTTGCCTCTTGAATGATTTACGATCATACTTTGTTTGCACACTACACACCTGACCCCTGGTGGGAACTCTATCGTTTCCGATTCTACTATCCCAGGATCTATTTGTCTACTAGCAATGATATGCGCAAGTACATTTTGATATGACCAGGTGAAATTGCTTGTTTGGTCCTCAAAATGTAAGGAAAATATACATTTACATGTATAGTATTCTAACTAACTACTCAAAATTTTAAATCACATTAAATGACATAAAAGTTGAAACACCTCAAAAGAGCAATATCTCTATGAACAAGCAGAATCAATAACTGTTCTGTTAAATGTTTCTACCCTAGGTGAACCACAGGGTGACACTCAAGGAGGATATACTACTTAGGCTGATGTCGTGCTCATCAAAAGAAATCCAGCAGTGTAAGCATGGGCTCTCATTATTAAGTATTGTTTGACAGTTTGGCTCAGATATTATTTTTGTACTAAAAAAGGAACTGTAGATCAATGTGTGTTAAAATTTGATGGTGTGTATTAATGTGTGTGTTTGTGAGTTAATCTTATGAAATTTTTAATTAAAAAAAACACTTAAAGTGGGAAAGGAAAAGTTAATTGCTTTACACTAATTTCTAACTAGACCACGTCGTGCAAAAGAGTTGTGATGTATTAAAGTCGATTGTGTATTAATTTGAGATTGATATCAGTGGCAAAAAGAGAGCCTTTAAGTTTGTGATTGATTGGAGGACTTACGGTCAATTAAGATGGAGTGAACTGTTACATTTCAAATCTCTGTGCAAAATAAAGATCATGCACTGCACATCTTTTGTGTTTATCTTGGTATTTAGTGGCCAGCATACAGCTGTGGACAGCCCTGTTCCTATCATCCACATCACCACAGCATCCACCACCACTACCATCATCATCATGTGGTCACAGAGAGCCATCCCTCATCAAACTTTGTTCTGAGAAGAGAAGACAGCTACTGGAAGAGGAAGACCTAGGACTCCCTGTCACCTGCCACACCCTAAGGAAGGTGTACACTTTCTTGCAGAACATTGTGCTTCAGGTATGGGAATAATATTAGTATTGACTAACTGTCATCTGGTAGGGTATGTTTTCCTCCCGCTTCCTTTTAATTCTCTTTAATCTCTCTCCCTTTCGTATCACTATCACTCCTACTATTTTTATAATGCGCTGATATATTTCAATGAAATTTTGGTATAAACATCTCTCTCATCCTTGTTCTTTCTATGTCTTCACGCCTTTACCCCTCTTCCAATCTGTCTCCCCTCTCTCTCCTCCTCTTACTAACCCTCTATTAGTTTGATAATACTCTTCAAATTCATCCTCCCTTTGCAATTCAGTAGGGTTCCACTTAAAGAGTAAGTCCACATCTAATGTAAATCCATCTATCTCTACCTTCCCCTCTGTTGATCTCTCTCCCCTTCTCCCTCACCCTCTATTAGTTTAAAAATGTTCTTTAAATTCATCCTCCTTTGCAATTTAGTAGGTCGTCAGTATCAGAGTAAGTCCACATCTAATGTAGATCAATCTATCTCTACCACCCTCTGTCGCTATCTCTCCCCTCTCTCTCACCCTCTTACTAACCCTCTATTAGTTTAATAATGCTCTTCAAATTCATCCTCCCTTTGCAATTCAGTAGATTTTCTCTTAAAGACTAAGTCCACATCTAATGTAGATCATTCTTTCTCTACTAACCCCTCTGTCGCTCACTCCTCTCTCTCTCTCTCTCCTATTTATACTAAACCTCTATTAGTCATCAAATTCATCCTCCCTTTGCAATTCAGTAAGTCTTCACTATCAGAGTAAGTCCACATCTAATGTAGATCAATCTATCTCTACCACCCTCTGTCGCTATCTCTCCCCTCTCTCTCACCCTCTTACTAACCCTCTATTAGTTTAATAATGCTCTTCAAATTCATCCTCCCTTTGCAATTCAGTAGATTTTCTCTTAAAGACTAAGTCCACATCTAATGTAGATCATTCTTTCTCTACTAACCCCTCTGTCGCTCACTCCTCTCTCTCTCTCTCTCTCTCTCTCTCCTATTTATACTAAACCTCTATTAGTCATCAAATTCATCCTCCCTTTGCAATTCAGTAAGTCTTCACTATCAGAGTAAGTCCACATCTAATGCAGATCAATTTATTTTTACCACCCCCTCTGTCGCTCTCTCTCTCTCTCTCTCTCTCCTCCTGTCCCTAAACTTATTCATTTATTAGTTTTATAGCGCATTAAAATTTGCATTATTCTATTCAACAAGACATCATTTGTTGACTTTTACATTTATTATCACACCGTGTAAATGAATGGAGAAAAGGTTACAATGTTCAACTACTATATAAAAAGTCAGGTCAAGAATCAATTTCATCCTTACACAACACTGTAATATTGATGAGAAAAGAGAAATCTTTTGGACATATGAATGTATCTTTCTTTGCTTAATTGTCACCCACAGGGGAGTGAGCTGTTACTGCATGCGTCTGTCATCTGTATCAAAGCAATGATCAACATGACGGCTGACAAAAACCCCACAGCAAGTAAGCTCAGTGTTACATTCCTCTCATATGATCTGACAGCATCCTGTATCTGACATTTTTTTTCCTTCATAATTATTGTTTTTCTTTATTTTTTTCTTTCTATTTTGCAACATTAATTCATAAATGAAAAGAGTAAAACGAATTATCTTGTTTTGTCTCAAGGAAGGAAATCAAATCAAAAAGCAAATTTACAATTGACACCTGCCCCCTAGTCTTAAAATCCATGAAAAGGTGAAAGTAAAACTACCCACAATTATGTGGAATTCACAGATGAATTATAATGAACTTCTTTTTTGTTGGGGGGGGGGGGGGCAAAAGTTTTCCAGCACAGATAAAGTAGGAAATGTTTTTAAAAAAGAAAATAGATTGATAATCTAGATCAGGGCCATGCAGAGGAACTTGATCATTTCATAACTTTTAGCAGCTGATATTATTATAATTTGTTGGTGTATGAGATTAGACATGATTATCGCTTAAGATATCTAGAGCAATTCGTAATGATATTTTATTTTATTTTTATGTTGTTTGTTATCAACAGATCAGCATCTATTGAGTCAGCCATGGAATCAACTGCTTATCAACTGTGTAGTGGAACTATACCAGGAGTCCAGTACTATTAACCAAGCCATTCCAGAACTCATCACTCTTGTAAGTACCTAAACCCATTCCATCACGGGAGTCATAATCAGCAAATAAAGGCTTTAATGCTCATATTCGTCACACTGTGACACTTGTATTACACTTGTATTACACAGTTTATAGCTGACCTGCTAAGTAACTGGCGCTCAAGCATATTGGGTATCCAATTACTCTAGGATGGAGAGTGGCAAATGTAGATTAATGAATGGCATAAACAAATTTGTGTCAGACTGGGATTTAAACCCTGCACCTTGTGAACTACAGTCCAGAGATTTAGCCTCTGGACCATAACACCTTTACAATTGAAGTGACTTAATTCCATCTCTTTCGAACCGACAGACCTCTTTTTGAAGATTGTATCATATCTACTGCTATTGACAAAATATTGATTATGGAATATTGTGGAAGAACTAATCATATGCATAATAGATATCTGTGAATCTGAATCTTGTTGAATTTTGTTTTGTTCTTAATTGTTTGTCAGTTCATGATGCAAGGTAACATACAGGGCTATGTAAAGCAGCACCATGTGGACAGCTTACTGCTATCTATCTTCAAGACAGAACCAGCTCAGCACGACAGACAGCAAGCATCCTCTATTCAACATCTATTAAACGCAGTAAGTCTTCTTGTGAATGTATAGTGAGGGCTTCTTGTGAAATAAGGATGAATATTCATGGTTCTCCCAGCGAAGAAAATTAGTAATCAGCTAACCGTCCCTTGCAAAAATAAAAACTACACGTATTACAACGTATGTGCGCTAATAGCAAATGTAGGTAGTACCAGATGTAACGCTAGTTTATTCCATCTTATTCAATGTTGGGCACAGTTTTTATGCCTCCGTTACGAAGTAGCCGAAGGCATTATGTTTTCGGGTTGTCCGTCCGTCAGTCCGTCTGTACGTACGTACGTCTGTACGTACGTACGTACGTACGTCCCGTTCTCGTGATCGCGTTATCTGAAGAACCGATTGATGGATTCCTGCCAAACTTTGGTCATGTATGTATCTTGCAGAGTCAAAGAACTGATTAGATTTTGGGGTCATGAGGTTAAAGGTCAAAGGTCACAGGGCTCATTATGTATGCAAAAACAGCTCGTGATCGCGTTATCTCAAGAACCGAGTGATGGATTGCTGCCAAACTTAGGTCATGTATGTTACTTGCAGAACCGATGAAGTGATTAGATTTTGGGGTCATGAGGTCAAAGGTCAAAGGCCACAGCGCACATTATGTATGCAAAAGCAGCTCGTGATCGCGTTATCTCAAGAACCGAGTGATGGATTGCTGCCAAACTTAGGTCATGTATGTTACTTGCTGAACCGATGAAGTGATTAGATTTTGGGGTCATGAGGTCAAAGGTCAAAGGCCACAGCGCACATTATGTATGCAAAAACAGCTCGTGATCGCGTTATCTCAAGAACCGAGTGATGGATTGCTGCCAAACTTAGGTCATGTATGTTACTTGCAGAACCGATGAAGTGATTAGATTTTGGGGTCATGAGGTCAAAGGTCAAAGGCCACAGCGCACATTATGTATGCAAAAACAGCTCGTGATTGCGTTATCTCAAGAACCGATTGATCGATTGCTGCTAAACTTAGGTCATGTATGTTACTTGCAGAGCAGATGAACTGATTAGATTTTGGGGTCACGAGGTCAAAGGTCAAAGGCCACAACGCACATTATGTATGCAAAAACAGCTCGTGATCGCGTTCTCAAGAACCGATTGATGGATTCCTGCCAAAATTATGTCATGTATGTTACTTGCAGAGCCAATGAACTGAGTAGATTCTTGGTTCATAAGGTCAAAGGTCAAAGGTCATGGGCTCATTATGTATGCAGAAATAGCTTGTGAAAACATTCTCATTAGAACTGACAGATGGATTACTATTTAACTCAGGACATCTTGCAGAGCCAATGAACTGAGTAGATTTTAGGGTCATGAGGTCAAAGATCAAAGGGTCATATATGTATATGAGAAATTGCTTGTAATCACGATATTCTGAGAACCTGTTAATGGATTACAATTGAACTTGAATTCGAAAAATGTGTTCTGTTTTGGTTTGTAAAATTGCTCTATGACGGAGGCATCATTTTCGATTGCGCGCAGTTGAATTCCATCTAGTCTTCATTTATGTCACAGTTTCTCTGTTTTTTCCATATATGTGTGTATGTTGCATGTAGGATTTGTGTTGCCATAATTTTACTCCCCTACCTCTCCTTACATTTCTTTGAAAATATGAGTTAGTTGGCAAGTGTTTACATGTTTCTGTATATTATCTTAGACGATACTTTCTCTATTTCTACATCTAAGTACCGGTAATCCAATACAATAATTATTCATTGTGCTATAGGTGCGGTCCAGACCAGAAATTGTGATGAGCAAAAGACAGAGTGATCAGCTAGCATCATGGATGGATAAGCTAAAGACTCACTTACTGCAACTACCCAAGGATCATCCTACATTTCATCTGCTGTACCCTTAAAAGTGTAGACCAGATGAAGGCCTACTTGTAATCTCTGGATTTTTAGTTTCTTAGCTTTATTTTATGTCCAAAGGAGGCAATAATGGTTGAAGCGACTCTTCGTAGATTTGAACTTCTTGATGATGATCAATTGTGACCCGGCACCACAAAACCAACAAAAAGTCGCAAAAAATTATTTTCCTGATTTCATCTGATTATGAAAGAAGAAGTTCTCCTCATTAAAATGGTATATTACTTGTCCAAATTGAAGCTTCCTAACCCTTTCAATTTAGTGAACGAAAAGAGCTGGTGAGGGAGGTTACTGGTATTAAATTGTGAGAAAGAGAGCTTTAAAGTTTGGGGCTATTCAAGCATGCGGAGCAAGCAAACCACAGGGAAATCAATAGAAGGGTGAATCAAAAGGCCATAGCAACCACTATGAAGAGATTTTCAGATTAGGCTGAAATTTGGCCTGATGGTCAAACATAGTCTGTTCATTATGTTTCTAAGGTTTCAATGTGTGGACTTAAGTCTTTCAAAAGTTATTATGTTGTAAATGTATAGAGTTGTAATTGGACAGATTAAGTGAACTGCAACATAGTGCCGAGACACCTGCACTAGACAATGCCTATTCATTGTGGACCCGGAGTCTTTTTGTTCCCCCTTACATAACACTGCTTGTCACCTATCTTGTTTTGTATACATCTGGGCAATTATTTGTAACCACATTATGAACTTGCTTTATACTTAATTCCCATACTGTTTTCTTTCTCACAGGAGGTTCAAAGTATTTTTACTATGACTTGCTCTTTCATTTCCAGTAGCCATCCTGATGATAATTAATGGAAGCAATTCATAAATACCAGCCAGAAAGTGGTATAAAAAGTAAGAAAGGCAGGAGACACACAGTAAAGACACCAACATAGAATAACGAAAAATAGAAAGAATGAGAGAGAGAGACAGAGAGGGAAAAGAAGGGGGAGAATTATGATAGCTGTAAGCAAAATGATGATATCAAGAGTGTGAATGTGTGTTTACAATAAGAACTTGATTTCAAAACTCTTATGGGAGAATAAATTTGGAAGCACAGAAATGAAAACAAAATTATTTAGGGAATGTCACAACTCTTTCTCATCCTGTATCACAAGTTTAAAAATGCAACAACTCTCTCTCATCCTTTATCACAAGTTTGAAAATGCAACAACTCTTTCTCATCCTGTATCACAAGTTTAAAATGCAACAACTCTTTCTCATCCTTTATCACAAGTTTGAAAATGCAACAACTCAAGCTACTTGAAGTCGTTAACGGAGAATATAAGACGAACGCAAATCTGGAACTCGGATGTGAAAGCGGATACAAACAAAATGGCGCGCCGCACTGATTGCTATAACGGACCAATCACAGCCCGCGTAGCACGACCCGTTAGCAACGACCGACCATTTCCGGACTACGATAATTTCGCTCGGGAAAAGTGATCAAATTTTGGAAGAGACCGAAGGCTGTGCGAAAAAAACTGGTCTAGAAAAACCGTTTAAAACACATCTTCTACCATGTTTTAGACTTCCAAATTTTGATACTAGGTACAGAAAAGACCACTCTTTCAGAAAATGCAAAAAAACAAAAATCTATTTTTTTCACCTAAATTGACATTTTAGCGGATTACGGAGAATCGCTGGTTGCGACTTTTTGTTGGTTTTGTGGTGCCGGGTCACAATTACAAGACTTGATTAATTCTGCGGACAGCAAGGACACCAAAGATCTGTGAAATTCTCCGTAAAAATATTTGAAGACTACCTGCAAGTTATCAACACAGATCTCAAAAGCGTTAACAAACTATCAAATTCAGAAGTTTGATGATTTTTAAATGCGAGGACCCCATGATTGGCAAGTCGCACATGTATTCGTTGACTCTTTTTTACAGTATATAAAAGATATGACTGCTTTAATATTTGAGGCATGTTGTTTTCATAGGCTCTCGGGGACGTTACATCCTGCTATTACCCCTCGGTGTGATAGCAGGATGTAACGTCCCCTTGAGCCTATTAAAACAACTAGTCATATCTATAATATTTTCTCCCAAATATCACTCTTTTGGGTAATTACAAGTTTTGTAAAGGACTTTCATGCCTTCACCCTACTGTAAAGTAATTGTTTACTTTGATAATGTGTCGTTCATTTATTACATAGTAATCTGAAGAAGAAAAAAAAAGACTATAAATAAATCGTATTAAATCAAGTTGAATGATGTTTTTGTTTTATTTGCAATTTACGGTATATACACCTCTTTTAAACATAATTTTGTTACATACAAGCTTCTTTACAAATATTTGACAGCATCAAGTCAAAATAAAATAACAATCTTTCATTCTTTACAAGACACATGTACATGTACATCCAACACACATAAATATCATTTTCTGGGATTGGCTTACAACATGGATTTGGTAGTACAGTGATCCCTTAATACACAAAATCATAAAAGTTTCTTGAAAAAGATTGGAAATGTGTATGAGTTGTTAAATGTAGCTTTGAAGTTTAATAATGATGACAGTATGGAATAAATGAATGAATTACAAATGATATGAATTATAAATTTTGTCATTACTAGCTTCATCATTAATAGAATTAACTTGTGACCAAGCTTACATTATCTGCAGTTCTGATTTATTAATTATGTGAAATTCTTAGAATTACTTAACAATTGAAATACACATCCATTGGTTTACCAGGAGCATGTAAGGTAAACAAAATTGATTTGCCTTGAGATAACATAATTTATGGTCCAATATCGAGCTTAGAATGTAGCGACGTACTTTATATTCTACACGATGAATATATATAGTGATGAGTGCAAACTATGGAAGATTAATTGGACTAATAATGGATTTGTAAGATTAAACACAGGTTATCAATCATTTTTCCATAATGCTAATGACTGGATGGACGTCATGTTTTCACTCCCATTAAGCTTTTAAAGTTGAAGAAACGCTTTACAAGTCTCTCTCAAACTGTTTAGTACTTCCATTAGTACATACATGGTAAAAGTCAATTACATTTATGAAATTACTTAAGACTAAATATATCTAATCTTGCTACCAATGGCCAAAAATGTGTTACTGTTCATGGATGTATATTGCAACAAAAAAATAAACAATAAACAGAATAGTAAATTCAAAAAATTTATGCTTTAGAAAGAGAGCAAAACATTGGATGTAAATTATTAATTACCCAATAAACAATAAAACTGCACACCCATAACCTGATGACCCAATTTTTCTTCCATTTAACTTTTGGAATTGAACCCCACCACGTAGAAAATGCTGGATCAGCAACCGATTCTTTGTAACATACTGGACAACAAATTACTGACAAATCTTGGACTTTCCCTTTCACATACGCCCTGGGCCCCATTTCACAAAACATGACAGTTTTTGTTAAAAGGTACTGAAATCCTTGCTTCTCATCGGTTATCAGCAGATTTGTCACTGACTTCTGTCATTTGTCATTGAAAAAAGGCTTTGTGAATTGGGTCCCTGGAGTGCAATTATGAAATGTATAATGGAGTACTAAAAATGTGTGAACTGTACATACAGTATGAAACAATATAAACTTTTGTTCTTGAAAATCCTCCACTGTGATCGTGAGCAGGTAAACTGTATCAAGTTTACAATGAGGACGATTTTAGCAGCACATCTTGAGCTTCAATCATATACATTCCCATACTTTTGCACATGTTAATGCAGGCACGCTCGTTTTTAAAATCTGAACAATCATCAACAGAGCAAGCTCAAATATCTCTACATGAACATCACCGTATCATATGCAGCTATTCTTAGCAGCATGACGAAGAGGAGAATTGCATAATCAATGATGGTTTTCTTTGTAAAGCTATACACCAAAGAGTTTAAAAAAACAAAATATAGCAATATTCATACCCTTTGTGATTCTGCAGGCAATCCTACATTGTACTCTTTCAGTGAAAGAAAGGGAAAACTGGAAACTACATGTACCTCAATGTATTACTCTTGTGATACCAAAGGAATCCATCGTTCCAATGCATGGTTTAACCTTGTTTTGACCTTTGACATTTGACCTTCGACCCTTCACTCAAAAAATGTTCATAACTGTCGTATTGTCATACTGTACAGATTTATCCACAGTACAAAAAAGGGATTTATTGATAACATCCAGTTGTTTCAGTGATTTTTTTTAAAGCAAAAAGCACTGAATCTTGATAACATTTTGATGTTCTTCTGGTCCGAAAGGTGTTTATATGAAATGTGAAATAGGATTACGCCCTTCAAGTTCTTAGCAGACAAGATGACATGCAAATTACAGCATATTCATGAACAGTAGTATAAACATCAAAACAGAACACGAGCAGGACAGTTTAGCAATAATCCATAGATCTGGGAATGAAGTTGTATTTTAAGATAAATCATCCTGAAATCTAACAAATTGATCACCTTTTGAATATAAGTAATAGTTTTTCATTGGGCTGTTGAAACAAGAAAATTGTGAAATCTTACCGACTGCAAATTGGAAAATACCAACACTTCTGTGAATAGATGGGACAATGTAATATTTATATCAATGTCTTGTCTAATTTCTGATCTGTTCTGTCATCTCTGTTTCTTTGTTCATTCAAGAAAATATATCTTAATATTTTAGCAAGTACAAGGCATTATGTCATTTACATTACTCAGAATTGTGGAGGCCTTCTGAACATGTATTTGTCTTTCACATCATATTTGGAGTGATCTACAATTGGGCAATTAGTACAATGATCAGATAAAGTCTACTAAAATCTTATAATCGGGGCAGTGTCACAATATGACGGACATGTGCGCTATATAAGAAGCCACCATTAATATTATTATTATATCTTGTCGGTTACAAAAATAGCTTGGATTTAGGTTTTTAGTTCCTAACATTCATTTTGTATTTTGATGGCTTCTGCCACAATTTAGTCATCATTCCTACATGTATATCTCTAGACTACTTTCATACGAGGGCATAAATGACGATAACGGGTTTAACAACAGTGATCACGATTTTCACAAGTACTTAATTTCTGCCATCACACAAACGGAAGCACATGATTATAAAAAACGATGGCTTTAGAACTCTTTATAAATCCACACACTGTATTCTCAACGACTAGGTTGCACCAAGATGTCAGATTTCAATTTCTTCCACTAATTATCTAGCACTCGGTTCTTGAATCTTTGGTGTATGAACAGGTATTTGATTAGTGCAATCTCGTACAATGCAGTTTAAAATGAACTACATTTACATCTAATGCAGTGATGGTTGGACAGAGAGATGACATGACAAACATACATGGTAAAAATTGTCACTCTAACCAAATGATCAAAACTTAACTGTCTTAAATCAAATCCTATTTTCAACCCATATATTTGAATAATTGAAGACTGATTAAACAAAATGATATTCAACCAATGCTAGTCTCACAAAGTCGGTCATTCAGTTGTGCCATACAGCATTCAAAATACACTTGTGTGATGTTGCTATGTCAGGCATGTGTGGTGCAAATTGTGCGAGAAGCAAAGACCAAAACTTTGTAAAATCATACACACATACCTCACAAAACATGTGGTGAATCTACATAGAAGAACCTGACAGAACATAAATTCCACCCCAAAAAAATTTGTGCATGGCAATAATAAAATCAGGAATGGGTAGCCATTTCTGTAAATGGCACCAAAATTTGATAGATTACAAACATACATAAAACCAACTGGTACCTAGAAAAACGATGATGTTACCGTCATGTGAGCTCACAACAAAATATAAAGTGGTAAGGAATGTTCCATTATCATTCCATAACCCTAGATTATGAAATGTACAACTAATACGGGAAATCGTGTAATTTTACCAAAAGAATCCTACATACCGTAATTAACGTTGTATTAACCGCACCCCTCTTTTTCGCCCTTTTTTTGTGTGTAAGATCATTGATGTAAATTAAAAAACAGTAGGGGACCTAGGATAGAACCTTGTGGTACACCATGTAATAGAAGAAAAATTGGAGGAATTATTATTATAAACTACATATTGAGATCTATCAGAAAGATTAATTTCAAACCAAGATGACAGAAAAATTTGAGTGTTGTTTTAGTTTCCGAGTGGTGAGTCAACACACCGATTACTGAGCTGGGATTTTTTATTTCTTTATTTTTTTTGGTGTACCGTGTATAAGCCGCACCCCCGACTTTGAATTTTTTTCGGCGGCAAAAAGGTGCGGTTAATACACCGTTAATTACGGTAGCTTTTTGTGTTTGCATAAAATATTAAAGATTTTGATAGTTCATGCCTAGTTCAAGATTTTTTGGTTTAACACAACAATATTTATAGATCCCTCCCCTCTGTACACCTTGCTCTTTAAAAGTTGATTTCACTTAATTTTTGTTTGTTTGCCTTTAAGTTTTGTAATGGACAATCGCACCCAAATGTATGTTCCTACAAATGAAAAACCAAAGCTTTAGCCTGCTGAAGGCAAGGTCATTGCAGCAGGAATACATGTGAATGTTTTCAAGAAAATCTATGCCAGTCAGGGCACAAGCTTAACATTTTACCAAAATATGCTTGAAAAATAAAAATAATGCCAAAATTTGATCAAACAAAAGAAGTAAAATGCTGATATAACAAGGTGAATCAATACATGTTTAATTTGTCATACTTCCGGGCTTTTTTCTTTCTTTTTACATGGCACCTTAATTGCTGAACAAATGAAGTAATAAGCATGATTATGGATATACATTACATGTACATCTCATTACAAGAGTTGAAAACTTAAAATGAGTTCGAACTTGAACTAAAGAATGCATACCATGCTTTGAAATTGATATACATATCGTTAAATCTACTATAAATACTATTCAATATTGAGATAAGCACATAACAGGACAATCAGCAGTAGATATATCAAATTAGTTTTCTGAAAAAGATTCACACATTAAGAAACATCAATCATACTTTGTAAGCTGACTAGATTACCAAAAAACATTGGAAGACAAAGTTACCTTGGTTTTCAGAAAATGAGAAATACAAGTCAAAATTATATGAAATGGGCAACCGTGAAAAAAGAATTGTGCTGTTCAAGCAGTTTCAGAAGTCCCGTTTGTTTGTTTCCACTTGTTTTGATTAATTACCCACTGGGCAAAGTCAATCAGCGCTATTGCACCTGTTAAAAGGGCGTTTAACAAGAGGGAAAGGAGGCAATTTGAGGTAATGTAAAGTTTGCACATTGACACATCCATCAGTGCAGGAGGGACCGGAATCAGGACATAACGTTTGCTGAGAGCCACTAGAGTGATAAGTCATGTGTTGAAGTATACAAGTAAACACAACCATGCTCTCAGCCTCAGAAGACGATGTATACCTTATCATCAGGTTCAGGTTCAGTGAACGAATTCCAGACTGTGTCTCATCTCCTTCCACCTTTGCCCGATGTATCTCTACCAAGGGATGCAGGGGTGCAGTGGAATTGGACACCAGGACAATGTAAACCTGATGGCAAGCGGACATGACTTACAAGGAAGTAGACAAAGGTCAGACTGTCCCTCGATTAATTCCTCCGCAGAGTCTACTGGTGATGTATCAATCTGCCTCATGTTGCATCCATCCAGAGGCATAATTTGAAAAATCCAAAACAAGTTGTCATGCCGATTCACTGCAACTGAATAAGTCCCGTTCTATACAAGTATGGCACTTTTCTCGCATTGTAACAGGTAGCAAAGATGGGGTTTATTCATTCACAATGTCACTGCGATTTCTTGTTCTGTCTTCCACTTATGACTTGTTCCACCCTAACCGTGTGGCATATGCACCAACATGCTGTAGGAGGTTTGTCAGGGTTGCCAGTGTGCTCCATATCAAAAGCTAGGAATACCTCGATCGGGGTACCTTAGTCCATCCTATCTTAGTGGCTCAACACTGACAGACACGCCAACATGATGTCCGCTTACTGTATCCGTCATGATTCAGGGAGGCCAGCAGGTTGGTTCTACACCAACAGCAAGGAATCTCTTGGTCCAACACAAGACAGTTCTTCCTTCATACGTCTCTAATAAAGTCAGGCATTGGAACTCCTGGCATCCCAGAATTTCGTTTGCACTTCTGTCCTAGTCTAATTCTAAGTCCTTCCCTACCCTGGTTCCTCCGTTGTCATAGCTTGACGGAGCCAGCAGGAAGGGCCGAGTTGCACAGTCTGTAGTAACGGAGATCGGTCACAAACCGCCGCATGTTCTGGTTGAATGACGGAAGGTCCTGTCATGAGAGTGAACATGAAGAAAAGCACATAATAAATGCACACTCAAACAAAAATTCAAGTTTCAATAATTATGAAAGTCAAATTGTTTCTTAAAAGTGGCTTACAGTCATTGTTCTGTTTAAGAGCAAAAAAGAAAAAAAAAAGAGAAAAATAAGAGAAGCAAAATGATGAAAGTTTCAATTAAATCTGACTAAATAAGAAAGTTATGAATTTTTGAGAGTTGTTATCACTATATGTATGGGCACTTCAAATTGGCTGAAGCAGTTATGTCAACGTGATGTAGTGCCGGACTACTTTCCAATCTGTTCCAACATATAAACTGACAAAAATTAAAAATTTCCAAAAATCATTGCTCAGGAGGGTCCTTCTTTTTTGAGGACCTATAATATTATGCTACCGTATCTATAATGTATTTTTCAGTAGTGCCCCAAGGAAGTAGGAACCTAGGAGAAAACCATAAATTAATGATATTTTTGTACACAGCAAATGGGAGAGCTATCCACGTCCTATGTCTCAATCCACTGACCAACTACAAAGTTGAGATTCGCATAGACTTAGTAATCTCATAGTTCAAACATTCATAACTCCCTTACTATTGGTTCGATTAGTATCAAACGTTTACCATTCTCTTTCTGTTATTGTTCTGCTTTCATACAAATCAACTTATTACAAGAGTTGGATTGCCCTTTAAGGGATATCATTCTCCTTGACACCTTCACATACACTGTATGTGTGAGTAAATGCTCTCAAAGGCACCACAGGATTGCAAACATAATAAATGCTTTGAAAGGTAGTGAGTCGACAATGTTTGAAAAATACAGATTCTACTGTCATCAAGAATGTAATGTTCATCAAAATTTTAAGCAGGGCACTGTTTCATAAAACTTGTTATCAATGACAAGAAACAAGAACTATATAAGCTACTGAAATTGGGGCATTTGATTGGCTAAGAGCAAATTTGTCATACAAATTTAGCATTTGCTACTGATAACAAGTTTAATGAAACAGGGCCAAGGTTCTTGTCCCTCCCACTCCCCCTACAAAAATGGTGAGTTAAACTAAAGTATTACAATTAAACATACACAGAAGAGAACAAAGATCGAAAACAGTAATATTAATAATCTTTATCATAATAAATTTCATACAAGATGTAAACTGTGTGATGACTTATAGCCGTTATCAACAGAAGGAAAAACCTACCTCTGCCAAGCTGAAGTTTGTCTTGAGGATGGTCTTCTGGTTGAGGTCCAGGCCCTCTGCACTGGTCAGGAACTCAGACAAGAACACTCTGAAGAAGTTTTCCAAGTCCACCATCGCCATGTTGTAGATGGCGACCAATGTCTCGTCTTGCAGCAGGTCATGTGACTTGTGGATCAGCGCTTGGAGGAGGACGTTCAGGAACGGTGACAGCATCATCGTCTTGAATATCTTCTGCAGAATGAGACAAGGCGAAGACAAATATTTATATAATATTGGATGGCTTTGAGCGTGATACAAGAATATATTGATCGAGCTATGACAATATTGGACGAGTAAAGGATGAGGTCAACATGGTCTTAGCGGGGTCAATATTTATGATATACTCCGAAAGAAGCCATGTCAATATAATTATTATTACCTATCCCCCTGTACAAGGCATTTTTTAAACAAATGATATACAAGCCTTTGGGATTTTACGTTCTCCCGCGGCAGCCAAGTGAATTGAAATTAGCGATCCTATTGCGCAAGCGCACTGATGGAATATGGCTCAATATTGCCCTCTGATTTAGTACAGTGGTATACAGGGGGAAACCCGGAAGACGGCAATATGGCAAATATTCCCGGCTCTGGTTTCGTATTTGGAGCAGCGTGCAAAATACGACTTTTTATTTAGCAGCTAAAATGCCTTGTATAGGTAATAATTTACAATTTTTTAAGCCGAAAAATCACTTTGCATCCATAGAAATTGGCAGTAGTTGGTTAAGGCCCATGGCACTTGAGTGAAACTGAGCAGAAAGTATTTTTTCAATAGTCATCAAAGTACTGATATTCAACAAGTTACAATTAAAGTTTTCTCTATTTCATGGGGTAGCACATTGCCACAGAAACCACAAACTGCATGTGTGAGAAGGCCATCCGAGGGTAAACACTTTAGGAAAGTTTCATGGTGCAAAAATGGACATCACTAATTGTATATGAGTTTTAATTTGGCAAAGGTTTCTGGTTTTACCATTTTACCAACCCCTAACAAATCGGCAAAAAGACAAACTATGCACACTAATAACCTTTCTTTGAAGTTTGATGGTGCAGATAATGGGAATAGAGAATAAATCTCCTGGAGGGTGGGGGGGGGGGGTCACAAAAATCTAAGTCAAACTTAACTCTAAGTTGGACTTAAGAATTATGGAGAGCCATTTGTAGCCTGAAAATAAAATATATTCAAAAGGGAAAATTTAAGTATTTTCCACTTTTTATAAATTCCACATCAAGCACAAGAAATTTCCTTGATAATAGAAAATATGAATGATTTGAATCAAAATTTTACGCCTTTTAAAATAACTTTTACAAAATATTTTCATAGATGCCAAGGGCTTTCCATAATTTTTTAAGTCCAACCTAGAGATAAGTTTGACTTAGGATCTTTGTGAAACACCTCCAGTAGGACTACATCATCACTTACCTTTTGGTAGAGCTTGAGTTTGGAATTGAGGATCTCCAGAGATTCCAGGTTTTGCCTGAAAACAGAGATGTCTGGTTGGAGGAAGGACTGACCAAAAGCCTGCAGGAAAGGGGGGGGGGGACAAAAAGAAGTAATATGAAATACAATAGAGTATCTGACAATATAAAATAAAATCTAGACTCTTGTCTACAGAATATTTTGTTATAGTGGCTGCTTTAAGAACTTGGAACAATTTCTCACTTTTCATCAGGGAATTAGCCCATCTTGCCTCTTTCTAAAGATCCTGTAAAAAAATACTACTTCCCTCAGTAACTTAATGTGATTTACCTATCTTCACGAGTCTATGTATTTCATGTTTCTCTTCACAATTTGTATTTTTGTGAACGCTATGTTACTTCTTGCTTTTAGCACTCCTAAATGATCAATATTATCTGATTCTTAATAAGTAAGCCCAGGAGAATCTTTACTACTGGTGAGTCAGACAAAAATACATTTTATAAGATTCATTTGATTCCTCCTCATCAGGCCATTGCCATGAACCATTCCTTTGGCAAGGTATCAATCTACATTTGCCACTCTCCACCCAGGTGTCATAAACAGTGAGAAAGAAAACAGTAATAATACTAATGATGCTACCCTGGGTAATCAAGACATATTATTACTAATCAAACCTGCTTTAGTGATCACCTGCCCACAAAGACCACATTTTTTTTATTCCCTTGAAATTGGTTTCTCATTGAAACATGTACTAAAGGAACCTCTCTACAAAGACCACTGTTTGTGTTTCTCTGAGGCGGTCGCTATAGACAGGTTTGACTGCATTATTATCATTATCCTATAAGTAATAGCATTTTACAGACTGAAACAAGATGTCCTTTCATCTTTTAGGTATACTTTGAAGTAACATTGAAAATTAACTCTCTCTAGGTCACCTAGGCAAGTATTCTCAATCAATGAAAGAAACAGTGCCTGATGCTTACCTGCATAATGGTGACAAACTGCTGCTCATGCTCCACGTTGTCCGTAGGGGGTGCCCCAAGCATGCTAGCCAGGATAGAGGTATTGAAGAAGTACTTCCACTTGCTCTGTAGCATCTCAAAGAGTAACCTGTACAGGGCAGGCTTGATGTCCGGTGATGATCTCTGGAGGGAGGGAAGAAAATTACATTGATAAAGATTTTTTTAAAGATGCATTGATTTATCAAAGTTAAAAAATTTGATGAGAAATTAGCTATGATATCACAAAGGTGGAGATTATGATAATGTCGGTAGTCATGACGATGGTGGTAGTAGTGACACTGGTGATGATGAAATTTTGTATTGAACTAATTCAGTGACATTTCCATGTCTTATCAATGTCATATGCATTTGGGAACTTACAACAACACCTCCTTGTGATTGCAATAATTATTTTGATACCTTTTTATTAAGAATATTGATTATCACATCCTTGACTCGATTTTCCTGGAGTTTTTTAGGTTGCCCATGACCACAGGAACAGAACACTGATGATGGGGACAAACATGATGACAATGATACAAGAGGGTAGAGAAGATGATTATGAGAATTATTGTATTTTTCATCTGCTAATGATAATGATGATGATTATAATGTTCTCTTTGTCAAGCTTCACATCAATGTCAATACTCTATTTCTATTATTATTATTAATTATATTAATATTATTATTATTGATGACAAGTGCATTATTACCTCTGCAATGATTGGGTATATGTGCTCCATGCAGATGGATATAATACTTGGAAGAAATGTCTTGAACGCTGAGCCGGGCTCCTGTACTATGATCTCCAGAATCTGCAGAAACCTGTAGCGAACAAAAATCATAACATACACTCATCACAATTTTCGTTGTTTAAAATGATGTTGCATTTTCTACAGATGGCAGAAAGATCCTTCCCCCTCCCTAAAAAAAGATTTTTAAAATATTGTGTTTATAAAACTCAATAGTTACATCTACAATATCAACGTTGTTATCTCAATTAACTGTAACAACCAACGTCAGAAAAAAAGTTTTGAATTACTATATTCTGATTGTAGTGGTACACTTGAAATAGATTGCAATAGATGGAATATTTCTAATTTTTTTTAACTGCATAATTATTCAGATCTGCAAATTCAGTGTCACTTGCTCTTTTAACATATATATATATAGGGTGAGGCTTAAAGCCCCTCTGCATTAGTTTGGCATGGAGGGATTAGACCTCCCAGCGAGGTCACTGGCAGGTGGTTATCTCATCAAATCAGCTCTCAATTAACATAAGAAAAAGGGCATCATGGGGGATCAACTGGTACTGCTTAGGCATTGTTGGCTTATAGAGGACGCAAGTAGCTATAAGTAGTGCAGTGGGGCTTTAAAATAGTATGAGGTACTTACTTCTCTACAACACTGATCCCTGATGAGCTCTCATGTTTGATGGTCTCTGATAGCTGTTCTCTGCAAGGATACAACAGAAAAATATAGACATTATAGTTTACTCTAGATCCAGAAAATTATTTTATAGACTACCAAAGAGCCAACGTCATATTCACTCGTTCTCCAGGTGATTGGTTTCAAGCAACAGAACTTGCAAACGAGGTTCACCCAGAAAATCATTCAAGCAATGGGCCTTTCACTGATATTGAAGAGGGAGTTCCCCCAATGACATCATAAAATTCTTTACACTACAAGCCTCAACATTAAGCATGTGAATAAGACTTAGCGTACCTGATACTTGCCCACATCTATGTCTCATTCACAACATAAAATTATTTCTTCTGTTCTTCCATTATTCAAGTTTATGTTATCGGTGTTATCGGAGGAGGAACATGATCGATAGTAGTGTGTCTACCTTCAGGAGTAATAATTAGTCTGCTTTGAATATATTTAGCATATTTTGTAATTACAATTACCTCGTGAATAGATTGATGAACATTGACATTATGTGTTGAATGGTAGGGATTCCCATCTGCACTCTTAGGCCTTGGAAGAGAGCCAGGAAGAAGCTCATCATTTCATCCACAACATCTAAGGAGGAAACAAATTGGCATAATCTATGTTAGCATCTGTATACATTTTCATAATCATTCTTATTAGCAGTTGACACTAGTGTCTTGTACCTTCACTTCCATCAAATATTTGCACAACTACAATTACCATTAGCACAATCATCCCCCTATTATCAAAACATCATTCTATTACCATCATCGCACAACCAACAACACCATCATGACCACCACAACCTCTACCGTCATCACCAACATGAGTACTATCACCACTACCATCACTAACCACTATCGCCATCACCACTACCATTGCCGCAACTTCATCCACTTATAAAAACACTGCTGCCGTTACCCCCACCATCACCATCATCGCCACCACCATCGCCACCACCACTACCATCACTAAGTACTTCCATCACAACTAACCCTTTCACAGCAACCATCACTACCATCATCTGACAACCACAATCACCACCATCACCAGCAATACCAAAACCTATCCTGAACAACATAACTCTTACTACCAACCCTACAAGTACCAAAAGCTAAACCATATAACCCCCCCCCCCTCCCCATCAACGACCTCACCATCACCTCTACCAACTCCAATCATGAATGCTAATACAGTCAAACCTGTCTATAGCGACCGCCCAAGCGAAACACAAAAAGTGGTCGTTGTAGACAGCTGGCCTTTGAGACAGATGGTCACTAAAGCAGGTTCGACTGTATAACGATCTCTTATCTGCTGACCTACCTGGTTGATGGATGTAGAGAGGGAAGAGATTTAGGGTGACCTCTATGCAGTCCCTGACGGAGTGATAGCACAGTTGTTTCGTCTTCGAGACCTCCCCCGCGATCGACTCTACTTGGTCTGACAAGATCTGTAAGGTTTTCCTGATCACAGGTTTAGCTAGGGATGCAAAAGAAAGAAAATATGGCTCCATACATTATCAAGATGAGGATTTATCTCTAATAGCAGCAGTTTAAGTGTGAATAAAAAATGACTATTATCAAATAACAGACAATAACACGTAGAGGTTTCGTAGTCGAGTGGTTTGAGCACTTGGATGGAAATGCAAAGGTTGTAGGTTCAATCCCCCATACGGCACTTGTATCTTTGGCAAAGCATTAATCTACATTTGTCACTCCGAACCCAAGGTGAGAAATGGGGACTTGGTAGGATGATGAAAACCTTTGTGATAGTAATTGCAATATGCAGTATAGGTGACCATATGGTAGAAATACTTCCCAGGGAGTGAAGATGGTGCACACTGTGCATGAATGAACCCGATTACCCAACTTACCTCTCTCCTGGAGACCCTTGTCTGTCTGGATAGCCTGGACATTCTTGAGTTCTCTGTACTCCTTGGTCAGTCTGAAGATGAACCCCGAATGATGTTCTGATCTGACCGGCCACTGCTGCTCGTTGTCTGGAATGTTAGCCCAGGGTAGGGTCAGGATGTTGGATAGCCCTCTGCATACAATGAGCTGGACCTAATACGAGACGGAGAAGAGGGGTCATTAGATTCCTCTCTCTCTTGACTTCTGCTTTGGGCACAGTACAGTTTGGAGATCATCTTGGGCAATAGTTTTAATCATGCCCCTCACAGCAGTCTTTATTGTTATATTACGCAATCGTAGCATAAGATTACCACAAAATATTCAACATTCATGAATATGCAACATATTGTAATTTACATCAATGTACATTTCTGCAATACCCTGTTTTCAAAGATAAGCTTGAGTTCTGGTACATATAGAAAATAAATTCTCACAGAATCCAACGAAACTTACACAGAATGTTCAAGATTACAAAAAAATAACATGTGCCAAACGGTTTTGGTAGAAAATGTATAGCGACTGAGTAATGAGCATAGAAAGATAATAAGGAAATCCGGGTAGCTAGGCCCAACATTATGTGCTTAACACAGGTCACTATGTGCAAATGGGAGTTCTCACTCAAAGATGATGATGGCCTGTAAGTTTTTTGTGCGTTCGTTTTTATTTCACTGGATCAAACAAACAAATCTACTGCAGGATAAACAATCCAGAATAAATCATAGCAAGTTTCTCTTAAAGGTAAAGACCAGTTTTGGAAACGCCTCCATTTCAAAAAATGAAATGGAAGCCGTAATACCAATCATGTGAAAGAATATGCTTTGACTAATACGTGATGATACAAAATTTGCCGGGAAACCGCCTACTAATTGATATATTTGGTAAATTATTATATCTATCTGGACTGGATGGATATAGGGTAATCCCATATACATTTTTCTGTGTACAGTGCTTGTAACCAACCAAGACTGGGCCAAATTTCTTATCATTTAGATGATTCCAGAACCTTGCAGTACACACCAATTATTCTATGCTAGATGATCAACCTTTTCTGCTCGTTTCTTTTACAATGCAATCGCATGACCAGAACTGGTCTATACCTTTAAAATAGGATTCCCATACCAGAGCTCAAGATTAGCTTCAACATATATGACCTGACCAATAAAAGGCTGAATCTCTACCCTTTTTTCTCTGTGGCATGGAGTTGAATTTTAAATTTAAATCCTGCTAACTACTACATGTATATTACGATATAATGAAGTCATAATTCATTGAATGCATCGCCCCAGCTTACCTCCGTCTGTAGACCCGATAACGATCCTCCGCTCACATCGTTGAAGAGCTTCTGTATTGCAGGCATCTCTATGAGGAATGTGGGACGTACTGTACTGGCAACGGACAGGAACAGGTGGGCTGATGAGAGGGTGATCTTGCAAGGGATCTACAGGAGAAACAAGACATATGTGAACGGTCGTCACTCTCCACTCAATTCACTCCTTTCAAATTTCAGTAAATATTTTGGAGGCTTATAATATGAGTGTCAGAATACCAGGTGTAGTGTATTTATTGTAATGCATCAAAACAAGGTGTATCTATTTAAATTGACTTAGGAGCATTTTTCTTGATTCTGTTCAGCTTTGTTCTAACTGTCCATCTCACTATGATCACAAATAATTTCAATCAATTTAGTCGACATTTTAAAACTAAACCAAACTAGATGGAATTTTGACTGCGCGCAGTCGAAAATGATGCCTCCGCCATAGAGCAATTTAAACAAGTTTGGAGTTTAAATCTCCAGTGGTTCTTGAGATATCATGATAACAATCTCAATGTATGGAATTTCATAAGTTGACCTCTATGACCCTTGACCTTTGACCTACGTACTCCAAAATCTAATCAGATCGTCTTCCTATGGTGATAAATACTATTCCCGAGTCTTAAGTTTAAATCTTAAATGGTTCTTGAGATATTGTGATAACGGTCAAACGGGACGGACGTACGGACGGACGGACAACCCGAAAACATGATGCCTCCGGCCCCACCTTCGGTGGCGGAGGCATAAAAATGAAATAAAATAGTAAAATACTGAAAATGTTATCATTCCACCTGAAACATGAAATAATTGTTTTGATGAGTTAATGTTTAACTACACTTCGCAGAAGAGAGGGTAATGCCTGGTAAGGTCTTTCTGCGATTACATTTACCATTATCAAACCACTTCTTCACTGACCTGTTTGGCAAGTTCAGGTGCTATGGCGTCCACCAAGCTCGTCATAAGAGGCAGCATCTTATCGTGATGTCTACTTCCTGGTTTACTTGTCTCATTGTAGAACTGCGCTAACCAGTGGCTGTAGGCTTTGAGTGCTGCTAAGGCTTGGGCGTGTCTGCAGTCAACAACAGAAGATTCAGAGGGGGGAAAAAGAGATTATTTCATGGGATATTCATTTCATTTCAATATACTCCTAAATATTAAGTTTATTTGATCAATCCTTTACCCTAAAATTGTCATCATGCATTCTAAATATTTCCATGAAAACTGTATGTACACATTAAAACAATGGACACCAATAGGCATCCTTTGTGAAAGTTGATTGCATACTTACGTTTCTACAAAGTCTGGCTTGAGTACTGTTGGTGCAGCCATCTTCATCCTGTATAGTTTCATCTTGGTACCATACACTGCTGCTTGACAAAACCTACAGGAAGAAAATGCATAGACACAATTGCTGATTAATTGGTGTCAAAGTCATTAAGGAGGAGAGTTGGCTTAGTGGGTAAAGTATCTGCCTGTTGAACTTCAATGTCATCCTCATTATCATCCATTAAAATCAGAATTTTCCTTCTTACGAGGGGTTCCTGACTTTTGCTCCACGATGCACTCCTTCTTCTTGTCTCGATCATCCTTGATTCATCCATTTATACCAACCTTACTGCTTTCTTTCTTCACCATATCTTTCCATTAAATCTTTGGTCATCCATTCCATCATATGCCATCCACTTCCAGATCCCATGCTCTCTTCACAGGTTCATCATCTTCCCTCCACAACACATGACCCATCCATCCATCTCCATCCATCTCAATCCACTACTCTTTACCACTTCCACCAGTTTCTTCCAGATCCAACCTTTCCATGGTCTACATTTAATATAGTTTCTGTTGAATAAATGTTCTGTTTACCCAGGTACCAATCCATGTATGCAACAAATTTTAACCTTTCTTAATTAAGATGTTAAACATTATCATGAGCCTTTTTTAAAGAAAATCTCAATAAGCCCCATTTCTTCAGTCAAACAATGAAAAAGCATTTTAAAAAGAGCATTTTTCATGCAAAACAAGAGCCACATTTGCCTCCTACTTTATATAAACTTCAATTGGAAACAGCTTGAAATACCCAAAATGACTCCTAATTGGCAGTGATTCAGGAACAGAAATACAAATGAAATCCTTTAAAGCGGGACTGCACTACTTGCACCCTATATAACAAACAATCCCTAAGCGGTACCTGCTGGTCCCCTATGATCCCCTTTTTCTTATGTTAATTGAGAGCTGTTTGGATGAGATAACTGTTTGTCAGTGACCATGCAGTGAGGTCTAATCCCTCCTGGCCAAACTAGTACAGACAGGCTTTAAATCTTACCTTTCTATTAATGAGAGAGCATTGTCAAATCTCTCAGAAAACTTATCTCCTATGAAATGTTCTGCTAGCCTGCCTAATGCTTGGAACATGGAACACAGGTCTCGCAGAGTACAGTGTAACCTTCGACACTCGTTCTCCTGGTTTACATTCAACTTCTGACCTGTGAGGTGAAAAAAGAAAAATATGAAGATAATATAAGGGTTTTAGATATTAGAATAATAATTCTCCTCATAGTTTATATATATGTCATGTTTTCAATATGGAATTCCTACAATCTTGAGAAAATGATGTCTATATCAGAAGACATCCACATTTTTTTATATTAACTCTCTTAGAGTTCAAGCCCACTCAACACTAACAGGGGATCAAAGACGATGATAATGTGTCCAATATATGAAGACCTAGTCAATCTAAATATGTAGCAGAACCACTTCCTTTTATAAATGTATGAAATGACCAAAGCATCAACAATTACCCATGCATTGGGGCTAAATTACATGATTCCATCATTTTCCAATGAAACTGCATAAGGTACCCTAGAAAGAAAGAAGAAAAAAAAAAAGAAAAATGAAAAAATAAGAAGGAGGAGGAGGGAGGGAGGGAGGGAGGGAGGGAGGAGGAGGGAGGAGGGAGGAGGGAGGAGGGAGGAGGGAGGAGGGAGGAGGGAGGAGGGAGGAGGGAGGAGGGAGGAGGGAGGGAGGAGGGAGGAGGGAGGGAGGAGGGAGGAGGAGGAGGAGGAGGAGGAGGAGGAGGAGGAGGAGGAGGAGAAAGATTCCACTTACCTTCTGGAATATCTATCACATACTGACTGAGGCCAAGGTAGATGGTCAAATATTCTTGGAATGGTGGGTACTATAACAAAAGAGAGAAAAAATGAATTATTATTCACAGCTAAAAGACACTAGTAAAGACACAAGAGAAGTTGTGAGTCTTGCTCTTGAATGGGGTGTAGCATGACGAAACTACGTGTCTTTCCCGTGGCCTGAATCGGGGCCAATCGGGTATAATACTACTACGGACGATGCGACCGCAGTATTCACGTGCATGCAACATACGTGAAACCGAAGCATGAGGAGAACTTCGGTCTGTTTCGCAAACGCTAGCGCACGCTGACCGTAAATCAAGTCCATTTGTTTACGTTCAGTTGTCCAAAAGAAGTCGCAGATGGCGTTAACCAGTATTTGCCATGCTTCACCCCTTTAATATGAAACAGATCTAGAGAGGAGACTCGGCCATCCCCAAGTCATCAACACCTCTTGCTGTCTCCCGATCTTGTCGATCAACCAATTAGCAACACTCAACAATTGGAGCAGACCTGCAGCAGGACAGATACCTTCAAGTTTATTCTTTTTCCCAGGTTCGTGCAAAGACAGGAATAGACTACCTGACAGCATCATCAATATTGAATCCCTTGATACTTCTAACACCCCAACATCAAATATATCAAACATAGATCATTCTAGTCTATGATCATGTGACCCTCGTCCATGTCTTTACATGGACTAACAAGTTTTATAAGATGATGACGTAGATCCTAATCAAATGATTGGTTGAGAGCGTACACGTGACTTTTTGCGTAACACATAAATTTGATGACCAGTCATTATCAAATGCTAATGACCGGCCATTAGTAGAATCATGTTATAAAACATCTTTTTATAACACAAATATAACAATCTTATAAAGCAAATAATACACAGCATTTTGTTCAGGCATTAGTAAAATTACCCACACTTGGTACCTTCAAAACAGTCCACACACCCTCAGCTATCACCTTGGGCGTGTTACACTGTTCCAAAGGTACCTTGTGTGGGTAATTCTTACTAATGCCCTCACTGCTGTGTATTATTTGTATACTGTTGACCCATACCAAAGAAGAAGAAGTGTTTTATTTCTCTTTACTGTAGGAGAACCCAACCACCGAATATTATCGTTCATACAAAATTTGCAAAGCTTTAGTACATTACAACGAAGATTAATGATACTTATAATTTTGGTAGGACAAACATATATTTAGAGGTAAGGGACTGAATACAAGAAGAAAAAAAAATCGCAGGAAGGATCTGAATATATCAAGTGGTGTGATGGATGGTTTACAATCATCTAGCAATACATAGCAACTCATATCAGGTTATGCTTAGTGAAATTATTGAATGATATTTAATTTCACCCTGATGCATTGTGAAAAACATGTCAATATTTTCTTACCAATAAACTGAATGCCTCTGTGGGTAAGAGTTCAGCGATCTTAGCGACAACCTCCAGGCCTTGTCTAAGGTAGCACTGCCACTCTGTCTCACACTGCACAACAAGATTTTTTAAAAGAAAAAGAGCAAAGAAAATCATGATTTTTAGCAATGATCAAAACACAAATACCCCGAATGAAAGTTCAGCTATAGAAAGAAGGATAGAAAATAAATATATGCCCAAGGAATAAATTTGATAAGAAAAAAGTAATAGTCGAGAAAGCTACATTATCATGAATTTTGTGACCTGTCAGGACTAATGAACATTGATGATGGCCCCTGGAACAGGACATAGTCCCATATATTCATATTTGTGTTGGTCTTAGTAAATGTTTTAATACTTTTTTTCTCATTTCACTGATCCCAATCATGCCATAATATTATATAAAGTACATGATTAGTTGCTCAGAATGATTCCTAATAGTTCCTCCAAAATGTCAGTTTTAGCTGATGAAATTCAGAACGAAATGTTAAATCTGTTTTGTGAGGTCACTCACATCGTCATCCAGCGTGTCATCGTCTAGTTCTTCCAGCTGAGCCTGGTTGAATCTGAACTGCATCTTGTGAAGAATCTCAGACATCACCGATAGCAATGCATCTTTGTATCTACAAATGGAGAGGAAAGCAACATTGATTAAAAAATTGATGAAATAAAATTGGAATGAAACATCTTGAAATATCAATGTACGAGTACTTTAAAGTGACTCAATAACATTGCCTCAGATTCTGAAACAAAATCCTGGATTTAACTCATGCTGCAATCATAATTTTACAAGCAGATAGCCTGTCTGATTATCAAGATATTTATGATTGAAAATCGAAATTTCATTTTTTCGTTTTCCAAATGTTTTTTTTAACACTACAGTCTACTGGGGAAAATGAGTATGGTAAAACAGGTCACTCAAAGATTTTATTTTTTTGAGGCACTTCATGATCATTTTGAAGTATAATTTTGTTAGGGCTTCAATATTACACCATATCACAGACACTGATAACACGTAAGGCCATGCATCTCAGATTTGACTTTGTTAAACAATGCCTTTAAAAAGAAATTTTTTGACAACTAAATTATTTGTCTAAAGTTCAAGAACTTATCAATATAAATATCTAGGCAGATGCTCCATTATATCATAAATGCATACAAACATTAACATGGCAACTGGCAAGAGTGTCACTTATTGTACATCCAATTCACATTATCAACTGTCATTTAGGTAGTTCATATTTTGATAAACAGGTTAAGATTAACATGACATGGCATTTAAATGATATGTGCCTCTAAAACAAGACATGATTTAGGTAAAATCTCAAGGTTTCCACTGACTATTATCCTAGCTAATGCTAATATAACTGTGAAAACTGATTGATCTAGCAAATTCAACAAAGTCAGAGGCAAGTAATGTCTCTGAGATTATCTTGTGTGACTGGGACCTATCATATTTAGAGAAATGAGGTTGAATGAATTGTATTATTTGATAAGTATCAGATGGTGCAACAGACCTGTCTACAAAGTGATTCATTTCCGGGTTTCTTGAAGCGTTGGTCTTGTCGATGAGATAGTCCAGGAATACTGTCCAGATATCCAGACAGGAGAAGTACCCTTCTTGTTCCGGCTGAAAACAAAGGGTGATGAGAAATTATTAAAGCACATATTTAAAGCCTATCTGCACTAGTTTGGCCAGGAGGGATTATACCTCCCTGCATGGTCACTGACAGGTGGTTATCTCATCAAATCAGCTCTCAATTAACATAAGAAAAAGGGGACCATGGGGGACCAACAGTCACCGATTAGGCATTGTTTGCTATATAGAGGGTGCAAGTAGCTATAAGTAATACAGTGGGGCTTTAAAAGAGAAGGCTGGGTTTTGGGGAAGGTGAACTGAAAAATAATTTCTGAGCTTTCTATCATTCTGTTTTAATATGTTAGCGTGGAAGAGTATCATGGAAAAAGTGCACTATGATTTTCATGCCACACGTACATGTGACTCTTAGCATGGATGAGAAAAATTGCTGCTAGGTACTAGGTAGAAGGAATATTATGGCTTGTGCTACCGAACTACACGTAATGCATGCAATACACATACAGACTATTGAAATACAACTATTCCTAAAAGGTGAATGAACAAAATTATAAAGAGGCACTCAACAAAGCTTTGTGCATCAAATTTGATTACATTGCAAAAATGGCATATTGCTTTAGAATTATTTTTTTCTCTTAAAAAACAAACATAAGTATGGAGATATCTTACAAATGGTTGACCGATTCTTACCTGCTTGAATGTGTACTTGAAGAGTAGAGAAAGGAACTCTAGGACTGGAAAATGGGAGTTGCTCTCAAACCGTCGAAGATGTACACTGACAAATAAACCTAAAAACTCTGTGAATTTCTCTACATAACTGCGCATTGGGGAAGAGTGATGGAGAAAGTGCAATTTTTTCGCATTAATATTCCTCAAGGAACAAACATTCTAAGACATAAAATAAAATAATTGTTTTTTTCTCACATCAGTCGTCAATCATAATACCTTCATGTATACACACAAGATAAAACAGATTACCACAACTATTAACATATCAACAAACATTTCTACAACCTTAGAGTACTTTTTCACAATTACTCATAAATGTTTGCTTATGATTAAAACACAAAATAAGAATGTTCCACACACCAAGAATCAAATTGTATGACACGTACAAAACAATTATAATAAGAAATCGAGTACAAGGAACACAATTATACATTAGATGCCCACACTCTTTCTGGTTCTCCCTTCTTCTGTGAAGAATGGCTGCTTCTTCACTCACCTTTCGTCTAAATCTTCTAACCTATTCCCTACTGATTGGTTTGTATTGTCTTTGGTTAATTTTTGGAGCAGCTGGAAAGTCTGTTGGAACATTCTCAAGAGGTAATCCTCAAAGTCCGAGGGCACACAGTTCTTGGACATGATCTCGTTGATGCAGGACATGGCAAGGACGCCCAGTGAGGAGCTCCCGCTCGAGCTGAAGCTGTCGTTGGCGGGCGACGTCGTGCCGCGGCTGACCGACTGGATGTCGCAGCCAAAGTTGGCGAAGTGGAAGATGACGGTGATGAGGTTGGGGGTGATGTTGCCGGAGAGGGGCATCCAGGAGAAGAAGTGGAGGAGACAGTTGAGGCACAGGGTGCTGAGGTGCTCACTCTCCTGGTCCAGCGGGGGCAGGGGCTGGACGTTGTGCTTGTTGGGAGGCGACGACTTGAACATGCTACGGATTATGTGGCTCCCTGCAAGATAGACATAATAGTAGTAGTGGTGGTTATTTTACCTGACTGCTAAGAAAGCATTAATGCTTGTTAGTACGCAACCAGAGGACCGAAGGCTTTAGGTCCTCTCTGAGGGACCTGGTAATGAGGATTAATGCCTTACCAAAGGGCACTATGACTAGCGCATCAACTTGGTTTCGAACCCTAATAAAGAGCAAATGATGAGATTATCATTCATAATACAAAAGGAGTTCAAGTTAATCTCAACCTAGTGAGGAAATAGGCTGGGTTGTTATATCAATTTTGCTTAGAATTAAAGAAATGTATCTTTGTAAATTTTGAACAGTAATAAACATCCAGTAAGGGAAATTAACTGTAACTGTCGATAAGAATAATAAGAATTCTACTAGTACCCAAGTCCAAGTAATGCTAAAATAATGGATATATCATTACTAGAACATACCTGCCAACCTTTGACTGAAAGAAAATTAGGAATCTCTCAAAGGCACAATTAAGAATAAGGTCTATTTTGTATACTTTTTACACAAAATATTTCAGAAAAAGAGAGGAGTCTAGGTTCAAAACAATAGCTTGAAGGCCTAAAAATAGGATTCATTTCTCCAAAATAAAAATGGTTGGCAGCTATAGTAGAATAGTTTTGTTAAAGGCACACTGTCCTACTTGTAGCTACTTGCTCCCTCTATATAGAAAACTTCCCCAATCGGTGCCTGTTGGTCCCCCATAATCCTCTTTTTCTTATGTTAAATGAGAGCTGAGTCAATGAGATAGCCACCTGTCACAGTGACCTTGCTAGCTCGCTGGGTGGTCTAATTCCTTCTGGCTGAAGTAGTAAAGCTTGCCTTTAAAATAATTAATTACCATTGTCACCTACAATAAAACCAAGCATTCCATCTCCTTTTGGATTGCATGTATTTCCTAAAGTTGAATACTACCTTTAATGATGATTTTTCAAAGAATGATTGAGGAAGTGAGTCATTCTTTGGTTACAAGAGTAATTCTAATGGCAAGGTTGAGAGGGGGAAGGGGTGTGGTTCCACATTACTATGACCAATGTATGCTTTCTCCTTCTAAATGCAGATTGTGAATGGCAACTTTTTCTTTGAAATTTGAGCCAAAGTCTGATATACAAAGCAACCGTTTGTGCAGTCATTTACCCATGATGCATCATAACAACCAAAATATCTGACCCTAAAATAAAGACAGTACCGGTAATAATTTTCAGAATACCACCCATACCTATTTTAATTCAAACTGCGTGAACCAAATTACATTATTTGCTCTGGTTTACCTTTTTTATCTACTCAAACTTATTTGACTGATTTCAAGACTGTTGTGTGCATAAGTTTTACAATATTTTTAATGCATATATATATATTCCTCTGTTGTAAAAAGGGGTCATATCAATTTTGTGCATCCTTTCCCCTCTCCCTTTCCCTATTTCCCCCCTCTCTCATGATTCTTTCCACCTTTATACCCCCGCCCCTCTTATATTCACCTGTTCTTATCTTACCTGACTGTAAGGGTGATGACCCGTAGGCCATGTGGGTGGGGCTAGCGTCATTGGAATCATCATGGGTGGGGGATGGGGGCGGGGTAGCTGTGGTCACCAGTGACCGATGCTTGTCCAGTATCGTCTCCAGTATATCTAAAACACAACAGAACATAGAATGCATTAATAACCCATTGACTACTGAATTTCCTCATTCGCATAGACTTCATAAAGGAACCACTCGGTTACAGTAGGCAATGGTTTATAACAGCTAACTTGAAGACAAGTGATTCAATTTACTGGATCATCATCATAAAAGTGGCTTGTTAGAATCTGACGTTGCTTATCAAAATATGTTCTTCTTTTCGCTTGCATTGGCGTCTAATGTCAGGGGACCTTCTGCCAGTGGCGTCACTGAGCCAGGAGTGGTAAGGCAATCACTATAGTACTGCACAAAATTGAATAGGGTGAATGATACATCAGGTCATTCTTTCAATTGAATTTTTTTTTAATTGCTGTATGCTCTTGAATTATGAGTATATTACTGAGAAATATTATGCCTGCTTCACCAATTGAATGCAGTAACAACTTTAATTTACAGTAACAGCAGTGAATAAAGACTGATTGATAGCAATAAGAAAAGTGGTCAGTACAGATAAGTGATCTTAAAATTTATGAACAATTTCTGTCTTACAAGTCTGAGTGAGAAACAATGTTCATATGGAAACATGGTCTTTCATTATAGGCGGTCACTGAACAGGTATGACTGATGATTAAATTATTTACCAAGTCTACCATTCAATAGCAGATAAGTATCAATACCTAATGACCTTTAACAAGACATTAATCTACAATTGCCTCTCTCCACCCAATTTGAAATGGGTGCCAGTAGGAAATGATTCCTTGAATGCAGGAGCACCGAACGTGTAGCAGAGCCGGGGTAATATTGGAGCACCTCGAGCACCTTGCATGGTGGATATGTGCGCTATATAAATACCAATATTAATTATTATTAATTTATACAATTTTAGAGATTTATATAGTTATGTTACAGGCCATCAAATCTTATCTTCTTCAGCATAAAAATAGTCTTGAATGCAGTCAGAGTCTTACGTGTAATGAGACTGAAGACTGTAGGAACCTGATCCAGTAGCAGCCTCTGAACCTCCTCCTTCCTGGCGGCGCTCAAGTCCTCCCTGGGAGAGGCCAGTTCTTCTGATGTGGTCTGGAGCATGATCAGACCAAGACTACATGTCTGTGGCTGCTGAATGAGCTGTAAGAAAGCAAGAGGTAACCAAAAGAATAACAGGGACCCGTTTCACAAAACTTGTCATCAGTGACAAATGACAGTTTTTGTTATAAGCTAGTGTAATCCTGGCTTCTGATTGGTTATCAGCAGATTTGTCACTGATTTTTGTCATATATCATTTTCCTATCTTTTTTTTCTTCCATAAAAATGTAAAAATTGATGTTAATTATTTCTTACCTGCATGATGGAGGGGAAGAAGTCCGGGTAGAAGTGAGGCCAGTCCAGCCTGGCGATGCAGACGATCACCTTGATAAGCTTGTTCCTGATGTAGTTTGGGACAACCTTGTGCTGGCCCAGAAGGAACTTGGTCAGGCCGGACCGGATCTCCATGCGATCCTGGGGAGGTAGCCCTATCCATTGTCTGTTGATTACATTCTATACAAGAAAGAGAGAGGAGAGAGAGAGTAAATAATATGGAAGAAAACCTGAAACTCATGGAAATATTAAATATGAAAGGGATATAAAGAATAGGGTGGAGAGAGAGAATAGAAAGATATATAGAAACCATATCTGACATAAGCTGCAGTTACCAGAAATAAATAATACAAAGGGAGGGAGAGAGAGAGAGAGAGTGAGATGGAATGGGTAGTAAGATAGTAAGAAAGGAAAGAAGGTAAGGAAGAAAGATAACAAAGTAAGGAAGAAAGATAACAAAGTAAAAAAAAAAAAACTGAGATAGGGAGAGAGGAGAAGAAAGATGAAATAATAAGAGTAATGAAAATAAATGCCAGTAATGTAGTGCATATCACAAAGAGAGAAGGAAAGAGAGAATGAAAGAGAGAAGGAAGGAAAGAGAAAAGGAAGGAAAGAGAGAAAAAAGAAAGAGAGAGGAAGGAAAAGAAGATAGTTGAAAGAAGAATATGGAAGGAGAGTAGGGAGAGTGGGGAGAGTGGGGAGGGAGGGAGGGAAGGGCAACACAATCAAATCCCAGATGAGTTTCATACTTTACCTCAAAGACACTGAGGGCATACATCATGACATACTCATTCCGAGTATGCATGAGGAAATAGAAGCAATGTCTCCATGATCCACTCTGTGCGCTGAAGTTATTCAGAAGTTCCTCTGGAAACAGGAAAAGAAAGAAGATACCAATTCATGATCAGTTTTTACATTTCCTTGAAAGGTCAATGAATGCCTTTGTACCATCCTAATCATGTGCTAAATTATACATGCTATTTTTTCTTTTCCTCGTTAGGGTAATTTCCATTATTAGTGATTAATGTTTGTTTGTGTGTATAACTCGTTCCCCTTGATTGATCTGATATTGATGATCACTAATGATGCATGAGGTACAAAGTACAAAAGCGTTCAATAGAAGCAGTGAAACGGTTGGGTGGAAATACATTTCCTGGAATTTTCATTCAAAATCAGAATATGCACAGCATATGAATAGATTAATTACATCACATGAGAGCTGGGTTTCAAGATTTCAAAAGTATACTTGATTCACTTTAATATACTAGCAATACATGTACACGAAAGAACCTGTATATGATTTTAAGATATGAATATATACATTGATGTGAAGGGAAAAAAAAGTTCTCAATCACTGATCTGGGAGATTCACAAACTACAAGCACTGATTTTTAGTGGATCCCCCCATTTCCTCAGAAATTAAAAATTTCTTGTAATAATTTTATTATGTGTAAAGTGTATTTGTATACTTATCAGGATCAAAACGAATATGTACATACATTTTTTTCATACTTCCTGTAATAATATCTGTAATACCTTTGTTTATCTTTCTGTTGGAAATAAAATACATACGAATGGAATGGAATTGTGTTGATCTTACCGATGTCCCTCTTGCGTTGGTTTGTTGTTGATATGGCAAAGAACTCTGACATGAGACCCTCCAGGGTCCTGAGAGAGGAGTCCTCCGTAGTCTGTCAGGAAGCAAAGGAGACATTAATTAGTCTTGCTTGTAATAATTCGTGATGAAGCCATTTAATTTCATTATTCTGTGAATCTATGATGACCTTATGTAGATAAGGATACCAGGAACCTTACATGATGAACTAACAACAAATGAAGTGAATGATAAAAATAGAGAATAAGGACTAAGTACCATCTTTAAAATAAAAATATACAACAAAAATTTGGTGGAAATCATAAATCATATATGCGGCGTACAAAATACAGAGCTTTTGTCAGAACTAACCTAAATAATCTTCATTATGGTAGGGACCCAAATTCATTGAATCTAATATAAAGTTATATGATTACTGTATGATTTTGTTTTTATTCAAATTTTTTGACTTGGACCCTCCCCCCCCCCCCCCCGAAAAAAAAATATATATATATATATTAGATATAATAATAATAATAATAATAATAATAATAATAATCAATAAATAAATAAGTATTTTAATGAATAAACAAAATAGAATAAAAGATTTAAATGTAAAAAAATAGTGCATTTGGATCTGATTATAACCATTTACATTGTAGATCACATTTTCAGGAGTATAAATAAACATTCTAAGAAATGTTGGAAGATGAATTATGTCAAATGTTAGGGAAATCACCAGGATGAACCATAAGTTCCTGTAACATTTAATATGATATATGTTAAGGCTGTGCGCAACCATGTAATGAGGTACCCGAGTACACTCCCAGGCTTACAAGCGAATACTACTTGAATATTCGGACGCCATGTTTAAAAAAAAAATATATATATATATATTTTTTTTTTTTTTTGCCACCACCATACCACGGGAGTAGTATCCCAGGTCCGTCTCCGAAAACTCACGCAATTTTACTTCAAGTTGCAGTTGAAGGCGCCGATTTAATAATAACTAGAAATATCTAGTAGACATCTATCAAAATATGACCTTTGACCCTATAAAAGCGTAACACTGCTGAATCCAAAGTACCCCACCGGCATACTGCCGAGGGATACAATAATAACAGTAAACAATGCTGTTTTAAAAACCAAAGATGGCAGAATAATGCATTTTCCTCCAAGTCCAAACAGAAATCCGGACATTTGGTCCCAGTTTCTGAGTGGTGAGTTTGACAGTGATTGAGCTGGGAAACATTTTTACCGACGGTACCATGCCGGCGGCTGGCGCTCTCCCTGGCACAGGGTAAGCGTCGGCCTGGACAGTGCCAGGTGACCAGGATTTTTTTTTTTTTTTTTTTTTTTTGCGGCCGAATATTCGAGTACGAGAAATCGTATTTCAGTAGTTGTTAACAGTGCGGGTACTCGAGCATTCGACTTCTCGTCGCAGCCCCAATACATGTGCAATAGATGAAGGAAATAGTTGTGTGACAGAGTTCTTACACACCATTAGTGTTTCCTTTGATTTAGGTCAACGATACTATTCACCTTCCGTCAGTGTTGAACTTCACATTAGCAGTTTAACTTAGTATCTTATTCAATGTGAAGCAGAAAGCTAGCAGTCCCGGTATACATGCTTCTTTTTTATTAACTCTCTCCCTCCCTCCCTCCCCTCCTCCCCCACCCCCTTCCTTTCTCGCTCTCTCTCTCTTACAATGCAATTTTTATAGAACATTATTTCCAGAGAGGAATGAAATAATAGATTATAGTCTTTGAAAAGAAAGGACAACATATACACTACACCAAAGACAGGGTTGAACTCTGTAAGCTCATTATAATAAAGGGTACAACCTGAAACATACAATACATGGGTAAAAGTGGTTTCTGATAATGCCATTGATTCGCCTCGTAAACTTTTTTGAAAGTCAAAACATTTATTGATGTTATGTCTACATGCATCGGACTACACCAAAGGGTTTTTCCCTATAATTTCAGAAAGACATTGAATCTCATTTGAATCTGTGCAGATCGAATAATTCTGAAAGGGCGTAGTGTTTTTATCAGTATCGGATGATAAAATAATCACATGTGCGACTAATATTAAACAAATCTGAAATTTGATGCCTTTAGTCTTTGAACAATTGTACCCATATTGACAGATGTCACTAAAACATACATGTAGGGTTACAAACTATTTTCCTATAATTTTAGAAAGACATTGAATCTCATTTGAATCTGTGCGGATTAAACAACACACAATTCATTGATCTGCTTGCCAAATTGAATGATAGACAAGGTCACGTCCTGTCAGGGAATATATATTTTTTAATAAATTGTTAGGTCATAGATCCTAGAACAAGAATTTTTTCAATTCATGTAATTAAGTAATGTTATTGAAATAAAATAATCTTAAGTTATTTGATATACTCTTTTCTGATAATGGTCATAGTAAGTGAATTAATACAAATAACTTCCCCTAATAAAACTACCCAAAAGGGGGGAATTGATGAGCATTTTAAAAAAGGAAGATGAAGATTTGAAAAGGAAACCTAGACTGCACATGTATCTTCAAGTGTTGGGAGGCAATATGAGTTTCATATCACAAACTTTTATTAAACTTTCATTTATCAGCAGGATGATTCAACTTTGGAAAAGATTGGACCCCTCATAAAAAAAACACATCAAGAATTGATGGATGAATCATATAACAAGCTTGACAGGCCATGAAAAGAGGAAAGTATGGTTGACATATACCGGTATATCCACCAAATTCAATGGGCATAAGAATGTTGCAGCATTTGTACTGTGCTGAACGGTACAAGTCATGTGACTGCCCTATCAATTTGAAAAGTGGTCATTGTCTCAACTCAGATGTTTGCTGTAGCGCACTCAGCAAATGCATCGAAATCAGGTTAAGGAGTATGCATTGTTTTCCGCAGCTCTACAATACATTGACTTTGCACGACATCTAAAGTTAAGTTAAACACTTGAAGTTTGTCGGACGGTATTACAAAGCTTAATTTAAATCCATTTTTTACTGGCATTTTTCACCTTCACATTGAAATGACTAGACTTTTGATAATGGAGTTGAACAAGTTACTTAACTTTGCAAAGAATTTGTTCTCTCGCTGGTCAATAAAAGCATTAAAAGTTTGGAGGGTTTTTGAATTCCAAACCAACTATTCTCTTTACATGTACCAACCTAAACTTGTACTTTTGTACACTATCGCTATGTTCTTATGATACAAGTACATGTATATCAGAGCAGAATATACTGTACAGGTAATCCACCTTCACAGTAATCCATGATCCATCACTAATAGCTTGATTGAAACAAATTATGACATCCATGATTTGAAAAACCATTGAAAGAGACATGCAAATCATTGCATTCAACAGAGACAGCGTCACTTATTACAACCCATAAAGTTTGTTGACCCCCCCCCCCCCCCCCCCAATAAAAAATCACACACAACAACATTTTTTAACAGGTTACACTTCAAGAAACCTTCATAAATAATATACTTCTGACATCCTAAATCCCTTTGAACCCCACGGTAATTTTTGTCTGCATTTCAATGGCATGTCATTGACCTTGAACTTATGAAGGTTCTTTACAAAGCTGCCCTGAATTCTAGTTCTGCTGCCAAAATGCTATGTCTGCATAAAATTCTGAAAATGTTTCTTTCAGGTGATAATATAGTCACATGTGTGACTAATACTAAACAAATCTGATATTTTATGCCCCGGGTCTTTGAACATTTGTACCCATGCAGGCAATGGGAGAGTTCATTGACACCTGTATGTCACATGCTAGGCCTAGGTGTCATATAAGACTTCTAGTCTAGATCTTTGAATCTTTTCAGTCACACGGGGCATTGCAAGAAAGTTGCCATTGATTGCAAGTTGCATAATTTGCAACTGATATTTGCAATTGATTGCAACTCAACTTTCTTGCAACGAACCACTAGTCTCCTGAATTTCCTAGAATTAAATTAAGTTAACTAGATGATAGATCTATGTTTTTTCTCCTCTCCCCCCCCCCCCCCCCCCCTCCCTCTCTTTCTCTCTCTTTACTTATGGGGCCTTGCAAAAAAGTTGAGTTGCGATTAATCGCAAGACTTACTTATTTGGGGGATTTGCGATTGATTGCAACTTTCTTGCAACGCCCCAAAAGTCTTCCATATTATGTGCAAAGTGTCCAGTATGGCATATTCTTTGCCACATCTTTTATCCAAAAAATGAAGAATATCTTGGTAAAACAATTAAATAGTGCTTTCTGGAATCACTTTTATTGGTCATAGTAGGGTGTCTGAACGATTTTTCAATTTTCAATTTGGGAATGTTTTTCACCATTAAAGTTTTAAATTTGAATTAAAAATTTAATCAGAACAAAACATTTCAAATTTCAAGTCTCACCGATGTTTCTATCAGGTTATCAGGTTTTTATCAGGCCTGCTATTCGCGCAGATGTTAGGCGATGTAACCATGGTTTGGACTGAGCGAGCTCACGCCTCCCTAATTAGCTGATTCAAAAAAATGTGGGAAGGGTATTTTCAAACTGTTCCCTTGGGGCTAGCGGGAAAAAAAGCACCTGGATATTATCCTTACGTCTAGCCCTACTTAAGCCGCGGGGGCGCGGCTCAGGAAAGTGGCAAATTTTGGAGCTAGGATGCAAACAACATTTCAATCGCTGTTTTAACCAAGATATTTGTAGAATTCCAGGGGTGGCCCCCGATGGGAAATACGGAGAAAAACCTGCTCTTTCATATGACACCACATTTATTGAGTTTCATCTTCAGGATCACGAGTAATTAAGGTTTGAATTTCAATTTCTTCATAAAATCATTGACCAATTTTGCATGGTCGCGCAATGCACGTAGACCACATAGGGATGCGTGCAATCTCTATGGGAAGGATTTTAGCACACAACATCGGGTGCGCGATCAGACACCCTAGTCATAGTCCTACCAAGACATTTTTCATCCACAGCTGAATGGATACACATCATAAGGACACATGTTGTATCAGCTTTTACTCTCCTGATCCTGTGGACCCTTGCAATCAAAGACGGAACCTTGCGATCAAAGATAGAGGAGGAGGAGGAGGAGGAGGAGGAGGAGGAGGAGGAGGAGGAGGAGGAGGAGGAGGAAGAGGAGGAGGAGGAGGAGGAGGAGGAGGAGGAGGAGGAAGAGGAGGAGGAAGAAGAGGATGATGATGAAGAAGACGACTCCATTCATGTCATACTCAGACCACACAAATCTACGAATATACTTCATGGCATTGCCAGCCACCTCATTCAAATTAATGCAAATTATAATAGGGTGTCTGATCGCGCACCCGATGTTGTGTGCTAAAATTCTTCCCATAGAGATTACACGCATCCCTATGCAGCCTACGTGCATTGCGCGACCATGCAAAAAAAGTCAATTTTTTTTTTTCAAATCGAGATTCAAACCTTTATCAGTTGTGATCCTGAAGGTGATAATCAATGAATGAGGTGTCATATGAAAGAGCAGGTGAATTCCAATATTTCCAAAGGGGCGTAGCCCCCGAAATTCTAAAAATATCTTGGTCAAAACAGCAATTTAAACATTGTGTCCTGGCTAACTCTGAGGTTTGTCACTTTTGAGATATGACGCCCCGATCGATAAGTAGTCCCAGTCCTAAGGAACAATTCTATGTGATTATATTTTCGCTAGCCCCCAGGGATCACAACTGATAACAGTTTAAAAATACCCTTCTCGCTATTTGGTGGATCAGCTAATTAGGGGGCGTGCGCTCCGCTCAGTCCAAACCATGGTTACATCGCGTAACATCTCCGCGCACGAACGAAACCCCAAATTCAAGTGACTGAAATTATGGTTGGAAATTCCCTCGATAAACCCGGAAGTGAATACACGTTATAGTCAATGGCAATATCGCGGAGACAACTCTCCGCGATATTGCCATTGACTATAACGTGCATTCACTTCCGGGTTTATTGTGCGACGAACGCCAACCATACTAGTCAATCGCACATGTCGCGGAGACAGCGTAGCTCAAGCTGCAAGTCGCGGATTGGCTTAGCAGCATGCGTACGATATGCATACGCTTGCATATCGCGCGATACAGCTGTTTGGCTAAATTTAGCAAAACAACATCACTCTGCGTGGACGTCTTTTTCGACGATTTTGACCAAAATGATATGAATATACCAGCGTGTTGGAGGGGCTGTAACTTTTGATAGAAACATCGGTGAGACTTGAAATTTGAAATGTATTATTCTGATAACATTTTTTATTCAAATATCAAACAAAAATGGTGAAAAACGATCCCAAATTGAAAATTGAAAAATCGTTCAGACACCCTAATTATAAAGTCTGAAAAGACTTTAATTTCATATGCAGACTAACTTTAGATTTACAGACAATATCCTGAAAAAGGGACCACTCATTAACTCTGCAATCCCTTGCGTAAGTTGCATGCTACAGACACAGTCGAATGGGTTGATTGAAAAAAGGTCAAACTGTGTCATGACTTTTTTAGTTTTACTAAAAAGTAAAGTTGGACAAAATAATTGTGCGATACGTGCACATGCTACCGTATGTGCATCAGTGCATAATGTGAAGACCCTGGCCGGCCTACTTCGTATTTAACAATCTTGCAGACTGTAACTGTAACCATTCTGGGAAATATGGTCTTACACACCTAGCATTTCTTATTGACCCACGTCAAGTGGCATGACACTGACAGCCGGGGCACACACCCACCCTTAAAAATCATGCATGCATCAGCACACGCAATTTCAATTCACGGCGACCGGTCAAGACACGTAGCGACTCGTACTGTACTCTGCCGCAGAACCTCCGCTTGGTTATCAACGTAAAATCCCCTTGAAACGAAAGTAGGTGCGGTGACTCGAACAATCTTACCATGTTTTCTTTGATCTTCACATCTGCTTCAAAGCATGACCCCCTCAACTCGAAGACAATTTATCTGAACTTTTCCCCCGCAAGATATAAGTCCCCTCAGCTGCACGGTTTCCTGCCAAACGTCAAATTTAGGGTCGGATATCGTTCGATTTCTGCTTCACACGATGCGATGACTTCCTATTGCGCATGCCTAGCATACCTCAACGGTTTGTTCGCGATTACAGTTTACTCCAGTCAGTAGTTCTAATGCGGAAATTGTATCTTTATTTTTGAAAAAGACAAAGATATAAATCGAAGAGGAAGTACAAATTAGAGGTAATTGGGGAGATCAAGGAAATACGTAAAATTGTACAAAGATGAAAGAGACATCCTTGATTTTGCACTTTGAAAGGGTCTTCTGGAGCACTTATTACTGTATTCGAAGTTTTTAAGTCTCTTGGAGAGGACTTATTAAAGCTGTCGGTCCCCTGGATAAAACTAACCAACCAACAACAACAAGGTACTGCAGGCGGCAGTGCATGAACGATTTTTTTTTTTTTTTTTTTTTTTTTTTAAATCTTTAAGCTTCCTCTTTCTCTACACGCATTTCATTTCCTGCAGTGCCGTAATGAGGAAATTGAACGCCCTCTTTTTTTAGGGGGGGGGGGGGATGGGGGTGGATAGGCCTTTACTCCGTTCGTCAATGCACTCGACTATTGTTAGCCAGTCTTTCAAAACTGTAATGCATAAGAATGGAGAAGAAATTATACTTGCATGTGTCTTGGGAGTGATTGTGTCCACGGAATCAGTCTTCAGATTGCTTTCGTGACAAAATCAACTGGTGGGGTTGATTTTGTGACAAAATCAAATGGTGGGATTGATTTGGTTACAAAAACATTGATTTCGTGACAGAATCACATGTGTTTCCATCACTTGGCTCCCCATACATATTATGTATAATACATAAGACTAGTCGCAGTTCGATGACGAACAATAAAGATCAAACTGCCATTAAAATTATCTGTCCACTAAATGATTTCATTAATCTTCGTCTCCTTTGTTTCGTTCTTTTTCTCTTACTCTCTCTCTCTCTCTCTCTCTCCCTCCCTCTCTCTATTTCTTTCTCCGTCTGTCTGTCTGTCTGTCTGCCTCTCTCTCTCTCTCTCTCTCTCTCTGTCTGTCTTCCCCTCCCCCCTCTCTCTCTCTCTGTCTCCCCCTCTCACTCTCTCTCTTTCGCAAGGCCCATGGATACAATGTATAAAAAAAATTGTTAATACTATTATCATCATTCATTGCACTCAAACTTATACGCGCATTCATATAACAGACGCCCTCTAGTCACGCCAGTAGCTTCATAACTTTCCTTTAAATTGGGTGCTATGATTGTAAATTATGAATGAATTTTACCTCGTATTACTTTGCGTGATGTTTATACATCCAGGGTATTTCAGCTGTTGAGCTAAGTCACGAGGTTTTTTTTTAACGAACATAGCCTTTCAATCGCCTTCCAACATGATACTTGTAGATGTTAGCATGATAATAGTTGATGTAAGATTGAATAAACGTATGACCTGTCTATTGAGGCCACCTCAGTGAAACCGAGAAAATTATGGCCGCGTATAGACAGGTGGCCTAGTTCTACGACACACATTTCTTTCTCAAGAGAGTCAAAATACATAGACAAGTGGCCACTAAGACAGTTTTACTCACAATGTGGTATCCATGATTAAATATTTCCCCGTTCCATGCTGGTATAGACTTAGTTACTCATTTATAACATACCTTTCAAAGTGGAATGATGCGATGCTAAAATATTATAAAAGCATCATACAGCACAGAACATGGATAACGTTTTGGTGATAATTATATACACCCTCAGTGGCGTACGCAGAATTTTTTCAAGGGGGATGTTTGCAAATTTGAAAATCGCGCCGGCCGATATTTCGCTCAGTGGGGGAGGGGGGGGGAGGGGTAGTGAGCAATATTAATTTTGTTTCTGTTTTGATTTCGCGTTGTGGCGTGCGCCTGTAATCCAGCTAACAGTGGAAGTTACAAACTGATTCAGGCGAGGACGCAGGTTCGAAACTGAATCACGTCTTTCGGATGGTGACGTTTAAAGGTCGGTCCCCAGACGTAAATAATCATATCTGATTGATACACGTCTCTAAAAGCTCAATACACACACACTCGCTCAGTGGGGGTGGGGGGGGGGGGGGGGTGAGAAATATATTTGTTTTCTGTTTTGCCCCCCCCCCCCCCCCCGAAATTTTAAAATATCGCCGGCCGATATTTCGCTCATTCGGGCGGGGGAGGGTAGTGAGAACTATAAAAAAAATATAAAAAATCTTGATGAAAAAAAATTGAGGAGGGGTTAACCCCCCCCCCCCCCCCCTGTGTACGCGCCTGTACACCCGTAATCACCCAGGGGGGGGGGGTGTCCCTGGATAATGTTCGGAGGGGGGAGTGGTCTTCCCGATGATAGTTTCGGCGAATAATGAATAAATTTATTATAAATGGCCTTGTAACCGATATATCAGCTTCTACGAATCATAATCATGAAGGATATAGAACAAGCAAACTTCATCAAGCTTTTTATATATTGTATATAGCCGACCGTAAAGGGGGATTTCTTATAAATCTCCTGAACGCCTCACTCTGAATCACTCGGGTCATCGAGTAGGGTCAGGTGATCGTGTTACCCGACCTTAAATTTGTGGAAAATCCCCCTTTAGTCACGGAATTCCGGGGGTAATCGTTGTGATATACCTTTAAACTTCAAATGGTCAGGTCCTTTTTTAATCGACATTTTGGGAAAATCCTATACGGCAAATCTACGAAAGGCCACGTTCTTCAAGTGCTAGATCTTCACATGATCTTCCGGTTTCGTTTCACGAAAGGTCGTGTAACTCGACCACTCGACCGAACGTGATGACCCGATGAGTAGGTCCTCCTGATTTTCGATTCGAATTTATTAAACTAGAATCCATAATTCTAGATTATCTTCAATATACAATTACATACAAAAAGAATCGATACAATGCAAGTAGAAGCAAAAGATGGGGGCAGGGAGCAACGCACTCTTCCCAAAATTGATGACAGAGCAGAGATTTCTGCACATAACGTTTTATAACGACTGCATAGACTTTCAAAAATGAACCTCAGGCAATTGCATTAGCCTTGCCCATCAGTCTTGTTGCAATGTGTGAACATCTTGCAATGACGTGTTACTTAACATCCGAACAAGACAGTCATAAGGTATTGAAATCGCCTTCCGGTTGATTTCTTGAAAGTCTTTCCGATCGTGTTTTATGACAGCAAAATGTGAGCCTATCATTACTGTTCGATTCGATGACTCATTTCCACTGGTTGTCCTCTTTCCCTTAAAGGGTGAAAATCCACTCTCAAATCAATAATGGAAAATGCAACTTCCAAAGATTCAAGTGTTCCTTCCTTACAAGAAAATCCATCAATTTTCCGAAAGTTTTGAAATAATAAATATTTCGATTTTTCTTTTAGATAAAAATATGCAACTATAGATTTCACGTGGATAAAGGAAAGCTGACACGGTTCGGTTTTTATGGGCACCCATAAATCATCCTTTATTTATATCCATTTACAAAACAAATATTTCTAAATTATCATAATAATATTGATTACTACCCGTAATGTTTTTAAATGATAACCAACTCATCATAATTCTCAAATGATATTCGTAGTGGAAAAACGCCAATTAACTAAACAAACCGGCCATTAAGTAACCTAAACATCCCTGTCAAAACGCAAATTTAGGTCAATCATTTCATTCGCCCGCTAATGATTGGACGCATAATGTAAATGACATCAATAATTTGATACAGTGGCTCGCTCATAAGGCGTCTTTATGCCTGATCATTTCGTGCCATTTAATGAAAAAAGTTAATGGACATCAGCCGGTAAAATTAATATCAAATATCCGACGAAGGCGTTTCTATAGTAACATCATGATTGTGTGGTAATTGTATATACATGTAGTTCTCTCGTCTCATTTGGATCTATTGTACCGATGCGAAGTGTATATGTACACATCTTCTTGCCAGTATGCTACATGATCAAGAACATAAATATCAAAACTTTAATTGATAATGTGTGTTTTGAGCGCAACGAACGCCAAACTCAATATCGACTTTGACTTTAATTTTCTGTCGGTGATGAAGAGATCGTGTCGAGAAAGTTGGCGCCAACATCACTCCGTCAATTGATAGCGACATGACTGTGCTTTAATGAAATCGATGGAACTCCTGCAAACGGAACAACATTAATTTGTGCGCTTCATCATTGTTTAGTAGCAGGGAAATTTGGAGTAAACTCGCCGGATACTGAAGACATTAATTAATTCATGTCCCAACTCCCAACTTGACGAAATAAACTGCGATGCAAACTTGCGTTTAAGATAAAAATCACCAGAGGAGTTGCAAAGTTGCCGAAGCGCGATGTACTTCTTCCGATTTCAAGACGTATGAAAGTATACCTTCAGAATATCTTCGGTGCCTGAATATCTAAGGTCTATAGAGAAGACTTGGCTGAGAGGACCTTATTATATTCACAGAACACCTACCGCATAGACTCGCTCTGAAAGAAAATCTCTAAAAAATGGCGGATATTTCCGAAGGCTTCGAAGTGCTCAAGAGATCACAAAACAACACGGTGAGCTTTCACCTGAGCCTTGGGGCACGCATTGCATTAATAGTTTATGTTTCTTTCTTGATGGCCATCGGTATCATCGCTAACACGGTTTTTCTTTTAATAATCAAACGTAATCCTCGTCTTCGACGATCTGCAGTGACAGTGTCTGTCATCTACCTCACGATTTTGAACCTTACGAGTTGCTGTCTGCTGAATTCGTTCAGCCTCGCCGCCATCTTAAATGAAAAGACAAGACAGAGTGTCCTCTACTGCAGGCTCTACCTGGTGTTTTCAAGCATGTTCATGAAACTTTTCGCTTTTGCTCTAATAGTAACTTCAGTTATCTCAAGCATAGAGCTTGTGAAGTGGACAGCTGACAAAAAAACGCCTCAAACTAGGATCCAAAATGGCGCTTGTTGCTTCATCTTTCTTTGTGATCGCTGACTCTGCACCGCTGTACAACCATATCGAGATTACCACCGACCCCACTTGTTTCGTAGTCCGTGATGATAATCCCATTCTCAAGATATGGATCGCCGAGAGTTTTATCATCCTACTC